GGGTTCGTAGCGCAGCGTGGCGTTAATCGCTACCCCACCGCTGACCCCCCCCCCCACACACACAGACACAGGCCCACCACTCCGAGCTCGCACCCGGCAACAGCGCGTGCGTCAAGGCAGGGATTGTCAGGCCGTGGGGCTGGGTGGGACGGGAACTTTAGGAGGCGCAGAGGGGTTGGGAGATCTGGGGGATAGGGGGGGGGGAGATGTGTGGGCGCACAAGAGGCGCGCGAGGGGGGCCACCTTCATTCCGCCGCGAGACCACGCGCTTGCACGGCGCGGTTGTAACTGCCGAACAATAAATTGTCCCCGATGGCAATAGTTATGTAAATCCGCTATATCTCCTCTCTCTCTCGCTCGCCTCATATTTAAATCGTGTATTCTGACATTGTGCTTAATGGTTTAGCTCGCCGATCTTGCAAAGGTCAAAGGTCGCCGATTCGATCTCCCACCTCCACCACCCCCGGTGCGGGCAGTAGAGGCAATAGGTAAAAGTTTAGGAAAGGTGATACGTGTCAGCTAGCAGGTCGCCAAGTACCCTGGTGAGATCGAGCGTGGGTGCTTGAACCTCTTTTTCCAAGCGCCTGCCCGTCGTGGACGAGTAGGCCAAATACACTCGACTAGAGGGCCCCCCTCTAATTTTCGATTTAAAGCTTTCGTGACTGCAGGAGCCAACGGTGCTAACCGGAGGTGCGGGGGATTTTAGCCAGGTACGTAAATACCCAAGTCAATGACAACGAATATATGTCCGCACCCGGCACACCACATTCAGTGCGCCTCTCCCGATGGCTGTGGATCGTAGCCAGGCGCCAACTATAGTCTGCCGGCAATCTGGAAAACGTTCATTGGATAATTTTGCTTCCAAGTGTCATTATTACACAATACACCGTGCCAGTACTGACACGGCAGAGCCCCTATGAACGACGCATCAGGGCGTCCAAAAAGGCGTGCAAGGTCGTGACCATACTTCCCCACGACGGTCAGCGGTGGATCGGGTGAAGATGCTGAGCGCGGACGTGGGCGCTTAGATGTACAGTACAATTGCATGCCCTGCACTCTTGCATATCTTGCACCCGCGTGTGCAAATTTATCACTGGCAAAATACACGCGTACACCACTCCGCTAAAATATATACCACTCCATATTGCGTATCGCCTAATTTCGATGTACACGATTCTGTTTTAATGAACAGGAGTTGTCCCAATGCTAAGTTGTTGGACGATTGATTATCATGCATTAGTGGTCCTGAAGCTGAATGTCTGTTTACGTAAAAACTCCTAAGTGGGTGGGTTATTCGTTGTTATGGAAGTCGTCCATCGCAACTGATCACCGTGTAGAACAGCAAACGTGAGCAACGTTGAGAGGCGCCGATCCGTAAATCATTGCACCATGACACCTTTCACACCTAAGCCACGGGAGTTTGCAGAAATTAAGCTGTGGTTGGTTTAAACAAAAATATGTCAAAACAGTACACAAGGTCAAATGTAGTTGAAAAAAATAATGTACATTACATTAATCTTTCCTCGGTAAGGATATTACAAGAAAGATGGAGAGGTTTTTTTTTCTCCCCAGCCTGCTGTGTTAAGAGCATTTATAAATCCCTCTGTAAATCCATCGCTGTGTGAGCAGGGGGGGGGGGGCGCTACCCACGGCGTTGTGGGTCAATGGGACGCTGGGCAGTGTCGCTTGGTTAAGGCGTCGACCCAGGGACTGATTCAGCTAAGATTATTCGCCATCGCCAGGAATTGAACTCAAGAGGATCAGAGTTCACAGCGCAGCACACTAAACCACCGGGTCCAACCACTGACCCACCCACCACCCCCCGTCAACAAATGATTTCGAAACTATAAAAGCGGCAAAAGTGATGCATGCCCTACATTGTGCGATCATCGCGTTCTGCGGTAATTTCGTTACCGTGGAAATTATCCAAAATATTTACGGCAGATACGCACGTGTTCCAGAGGCGTGGTTAAAATGACAAAATATATAACATACACGCGCACGCGGGCAGTTGCTGGAATTGCTTCTACCTGCCGTCTGAACTTGCGGCCATTGAAGTTGTTGAGGTACATAGCCCAGTGTAATGTTGCATAAAGGGAGGCCAGTGGAGGGTTGGTGGGGTTGCGTGTACGTGCGGCAAGAGCGGAGTGGTGGCAGAGAGCTGGGAGCAGGGGGAGGGGGGTAGAGAGAGTGGAGGGAGAGAGACAAGGAGCTGGAAGCCAGAGGTTGGGTGGAAAGCGAGGGGGAAAGAGTTGGTGGGGGAGGGGAGGCAAAGTTGGCTGTGTTGCGGGCAGCGGCCCAAAAATAAAAAAAATCCGCCTCCCGCTCTCATTTCACCGTCTAGACTGCGGAGGACAGGCGCTTGTAAGCGTATACATGACGGCAACAAATGAGAAGGGAGTCCATATACGCTGTTGCGAGCTCGAATGCTTTCGCTAATACCGTAACCACCCCCCCCCCCATTTTTTTTGCTTTTAAGGGACTTGTTTGCACAGCGGAATACCACGAGAAGCCTCCCTTCACTAAAACACCGCGCGGGAGACAGAGAGACACGGAGACCAAAAAGCCCCGCATCGCAACTCCAGCTGGAACGCGACACCACGCCACGCACGCGCAAAAGACAAAGACCCCGCCACCTCCCGTATAGCCTTAACATACTTTTGGGGCAAGTTGCCGTTCGCGAGCACCTACGAATACCGGCATGGTACACGAATGGGTGGCCAGGATGAAAAAAAACCTCCCGATCGCCTTTGTCTCCCCAGTGATGATGTTTTACGCACTTGCACCAGGTTTACTCATTAGAGGCTGAGTCGACCGAGGAATCGTCACGGGTTTTTTTTGCCGTGAGCGGGAATGGAACTCGGGTCGCCACGCGTTCGTAGCGCAGCGCGCTAACCGCTACACAACCGTTCCCTATACATAAGACAAAGATCCCCCGTGTGGCCTTAACAGACTGTTGGGGCAAGTGCTGTTCGCGAGTACCTATGAAGGCCGGAACGGCACACGAGGGGGTGGGTGGCCAGAAACCACGTCCGATGTTAACGCACGGCACCAGGTACTCATTTGAGACCGAGTCGACTTAGAGGAGGCGGACCAGGACCGGTTCAGATAATCGTCACTGGTGTTGGCCGTGAGCAGGAATCGAACTCGGGTAGCCCGGGTTCGTAGCGCAGCGCGCTAACCGCTACACGACCGCTCTCCATACGTACACGCACACACACCCACACGCACATTCAAAGCAAAGGTTTGGTTTAGCAAACAGCTATTGGGCGTAGTCCGTCAACGTGGTCCCATTCCCAAGCTGGGAGGTATGCACCCAACGGTTTTAAGAGTTTCCTTGCGGTCTGCTTTGATTGGTTACGAGACAGAAGGCCCAAATCATTTCCACGTGGTCCGGAGTGGGGGAATCTCCAAACGCGTAACGGTTAAAGCGCGCCGCGGCTCCCTTGATATTAATGAACATCTTTAAGTGGGGACAAAGGGCTACCACCCTAAATGGGAAATGAGAGTGACAAGACGTGACTTAAAACATCAGCGGAAGGAGAAATGCATGTCAGAGAAAAAAAACCCGACAAACATGAGGGGCCTCGGGTTGCCACGTCCGCTACTTTTTTTACATTTCCAAAAATACTCTGGGGCTTCGGAGACCCGAGAAAAAATGAGTTACGAAACAAACTCGAGTCTTGCGATTCCTAAAGCTGCGCAAACATTGGGAATATAACAAAACAAGTTCACCAAAATCTTCCAGCACGATGAGGTTGATAAATTATCTGGAGTGCAGGGTTCCTGCTGCACCTCTCAACGTGGGCACAAGACTGACAAAATCCACCCATGTGACGTAACAATTGCTTGCAAGCCTTTGGCAATCCACTGCTGGATGAAAGCCTCTCTCCGTCTTTTGGGCATGTCTAGCCATACGTCACCATACTCATCAGTGTGGGTTGCGTAAAGGCTAACTCCTGCGGGTTGGTGAAGGGTAAGCGATCACGGGTTTAGTTTTACTCCTCCACTGATGTAAGCCGTGGCCCAGAATCAAACTTAGGAATCTGGGTGTTTAGTGCGCTAACCAATGCGCGATACCCTATGCGCTTAATATCGATAGACAAACTTACAACTGGATAATGGAGAAATATGACAAGATGAGTAATGAATAGCCTAAGTGTTCGAGAGTGCATACTTTAATCATACATATTTTAATCCTCCCCCCACCTCCAACATTATTGCACAGCTTCATGCCAATTTACTCCCTAACCCGCAATAGCACCACCATCGCAATTACAACTTTCACTTTTCCTTGACGATTGTTTTCTTAGTAACGTTGCCTTTTAAAAATCGTTAATTTTAAGCCTACGGTTGTTTTTATTTTCAAACGGACGGATGCTGTCGGGTTCTCTCCCTCTCTAGACTTGCAGTCACAACGAGTTTAAATTAAAAGTCTAGCACGGTTTACATTCCAAAATAAACACCCCAACACCTGTTTCTGTACCGGCGGCTCTCGTGCAAAGGCAGCGACGATGCTGATGACTTTTAATTTGAAGAGGTACCCCCACCCCCCAACTCCTGTTGGTCAGGCCCGATGTTGGATGGAGCTCGCGCCTGCTGGAGTTGGGCCCATTTTCGGCTGCGGTTTTTTTTCCCCCTTCAAAACTCAAGATTTCCTTCAATTCGTTCGCATTTTTCAACGACCTCCTAAAACAACTGAACGTTTCCTTGCAAAGCCAAAAAAAAAGTGAGAAACACGCTGGAAAACACACCCACGCACGTTAAACACGCATGCAACCAATACAACAAAAACAATATTACTCTCGGTATTCTTTTCGTGAAACACAACAAAAAGACAAAGCTGAAAGGGTTATTTTTTTTTTACCAAGCAACGCACAGCGCCGAGGCATAACAATCACTCCCTCTGCTGGGCAGCTTGTGTGATGATGAGGGGTATGCGATGATTTACTTCCTCCCTGGAGGTGCAATGAGTTGATAAACTAGCCGGGGGGCCAGGATTTAATTCAGGAACATTCTTTATTTTTGTAACATCGCGGTCGTTGATATTGCAGGGATCATGTGCACCGATTATAATTTATAAAAACAATAACTTACAGCTCTTTGTCCATCTACAGCTGGGTGAAATCCTCCCCCACCTCTACATTGGCAATGGGGGTTGTTTGACCATACTTCACCAAGCTGGTTAATGCAGGTTGGTTAGAGGGGGGGGGGGTGCAAAACCAATTTACATGTAATTGGCAAATTGTTACCCACGGCCGGGAATTGAATTGAGATCGCTGGGTTCATAGTGCGGTGCATTCACCGAAATCACCGCCGCGCCCCGCATACAGGGTGCTTCAAAAATATGTTAACACTTCCGAGAATTTGCAAAAAGTACCACAAGAAATGTGCTGCTGCCTCCGGGCTCTGGAGACCACCTGGAGAAGATTCCAGGCCACGTGTTGACAACGATGGCAAACAAGTGGAAACTCCTTGACTTTGTGAAGCTATTAACATACATTTGTTATCATGTTACCGCGTATTATCCGTTCTTTTTCCATTAAAAACAATAGTCTCATATAAGTTGATAAAAAATATTTTGAAGCACCCTCTACATCACAAAACTATTCAATGCATGGTATCGCTAGTTCAAAAACGGACATCAACAGATTAATTGATACTTCGTTGCACTCCAGAATATCACTCGGTGCCGAACATAAATATGAATGCTGCACACCAAAGGTACCACAAATATAGATTTGCAGACGCAGAGTGCTGAAGTGCCTTAAACACGTGGACAAAAAATAGTTTCCTTTTTCTATGTACATATTTATACAGGCGGCATAGTACAAACGTCCTTCAGAATTTTGGTATTGAGAACAACGCCACTGACCAAATGTTAAGCTTATTTTTTTAAGCCAGCTTTTATCTAAACATGTTTTTGTTATATTGATTACCACATTAATGATTCTCAATTTGCATATTACTTCGTAATCACCTCGAGTTTAACCCTGTGCCTTTCAATCATTTAATGTAATTCATTCTCACTGTTACCACGACTGTCATCGGCACATCTGAGCTGGTTAATACTCTGATCAAAACTAAGTTGCAATACATCTTACATAACAGGCTAGATGGAGGGAGATAACTGGAAAACAGCAGAACGAGTATACTTAAGGCAGTTATGGACAGCGGACTGGGATTAAAAATGTAAACATAAAAATGCAAACGAGAGCAGGAAGGATTGCCTTAGAGAAGTGTTCTTCATTCACTTTTAGAGGGGCGCCACTTTCACCGATAAAACATCAGCGAGTTTTATTTTGACTTAAAACTTTCGTGACTGCAGGAATTCATATTCGATGGTTCTTTCGGTAAAGTCACGTAGAGAACAGAAAAAGACGATTGCTTGTGTTGCGATCAAAACGTCGTGATATTTTTATTATTTTTTTATTCACTTTATTTTAATTTTTATATTTTTTATTGTTATTCTTTTTTCTATCTATGTGACATTACCGAAAGAACCATAGAATATCATCAGTGAGGGCCGCCACACTGCCTGCAAGGGGTCTTTTCACTATTTGTGTATTGTCTGTGGGGGCCATACTAAAGGCCGCCAGGGGCCGCCAGTGGCCCGCGGGCCTTGCAATGGAAAACACTGCCTTAGAATAACTAACTTTGATGACAAAAATCAATATAGCAGTGTGTCTGAAGAAGCTCTTCAATCAGTGGGTAATGCCAGCTATGACATATGTATCAGAACCATGTAAACTTAACTATTAGATGGAATATAGCCAAAGAGGAGATTTGCATGTTTGGAATGACACCGAGAGAACGAAAGAGAGACAGATGCGTCCTGGGGGTAAACACAAATCAGATACATCGTATCGACAGCTCAGAACATTCGGTGGGTTTGGGCAGGACACGTCATGGTGAGAGGGAACAACGGGCCGATAGACGAGACTAACGGTGGAGTGGCAGTCGATGGGTGTGAACACGCCCCGAGAAAGGACGGAAAACGACCGTGGAGACGGAGCAATGAAATCAGCTCGTGCGCAGCAGCGAGATGGATTGTGGCATCGCAAGCCCGCAGAGGAGGGACGATGGAGTGGGGGAGGCATTCGTCAAGCGATGGACGGCGACTGTTGATGACGACGTTGCTTCACATCAGTGTGGGGACTCCACAGCGACTGTGAGGTCTGTCATTGGTGACGACAAGAGAACTGGCGATGTTGATGAAGTCACTTCGTCTTTTGTCTCTTCTTTGATGGTTGCATCGCAACTGCAATAGACAAACGGAAACCGGCGTTAAATTACGCGGAATTTTTTTTTTCCCCGTTCAAAAAATGTCAAACTTTTAGACAATTTGCCAAGGGAGTATCTTCAGGGGGAATAGCTTTGGGGAAATATTATTAAACATTCAAAGTAACGTCGCAGTTAACACACCTTCAGTGCCTGCCGTCGCCTTCCCCTCGAGCTCCTCCTCGATGACGGGCATGCTCAGCAGATTGCTCGGTGGGGTCGGAGTATCCTCCTCGACGCCGTAGCAGTCATCCGCCAAGTGGCTCGCCGCTCCAGCTGTGTGGGGGAAGACAGCCGGCGTGAGCGAGTGAGTGCTGCTGACCGTTCCCCACCGCCCCGCCCCCTCCCCAAACTGTGTGATTTAGTGCTAACGTGAAGAAATCTCAGAAGTGGTTCTGTAACGCCCACTTCCATGGAGTCGTTCTCTACTGTGGAGGGGGTTCGCTCTGCGCTCTGCAAGGGCTAAGGGTGGATTCTTTGCCTCGTGAGAGGGCACCTGGCCTCGGCGTGAGAGATCCACTCCTGGGCCGCTTTCCCCGTGGCGAGTCGTGTTTCCTGCGGTCGTCCTCCGATGAGTTGATTTCAGTTTGCCGATGCCTGCGTGAACGGGGGGCCTTAAGGGAGGGTGGGGGGAGGAAGGAATTTTTATTTTTTGAAAGTCGAAAAGCAATGAAGAGTGGAAAACTCCGCATTGCTCAGTCACGATCATGAGCTCCATCGTTATGATAAATTCTTACACGTGTTGTAATGTGTCAGGCTCAGTCCTTACCTTTGTCGGATTGTTGTAGGACTTGTTTTTGATGGCTGCTAATTTTTCGGCTCTGGAACAACCCTGTAAATAAATTAATTGTATTCATTGTGAAACTACGGTCGTAGCTTCACAACAGAATGCTTTACACTGTTCAGGCTACACAGTGGAGCACTTAATTGACTTATATAAGTAACTGTGATGGTTATTTAACGTACCACTGCATTGTCTTCCTCATACGAATGTCTTTCCTTGTCCTCCGCACTCCTTTCAGTTGACTTACCCGTGGAGGCAGCTTTAGGTTTCTGGAATTGAAATAAAATTAACTCACCAACACGATTACACATTGCAAATGAACAACAACGTAAAAAAAACACATTTTCTGTATGTTGAGAATCAACGAAAATCCACTGCCAGACGAAGGCCTTCCCACGTCATGTTGGTCATGCGGGTGTCTTACCATACTTCATCGTGCTAGTGATTGTGGGTTAGTGAAACGGGGTGGGTTCAGGACTGACTCAGATGCCACTCGCCAGGAATTGAACACAGCCCACTTGGTTCAATGCAGTGTACTAACCATAATGCCACCGTTACTCACCAGTATTTAAATCAAACTACATGATTTTCATTTACTTACTCGGTGGCTAATTATTTAAACAACTAAGCATTTTGTTACATTCAAATGTTTACACACAGAAATAAACATAGCTTTAGAAGCATCTGATCAGTTCTCAATAAATATATTCATACAATGACACGCCTAAACAAGCTGGCCAACTGGATGTGCAGGACAAGCCAGGAAATTATCTTTGCACAAAAGTCTGACAATTGCGTCGTGCGGGGCAGACAATTGGATGCGGGCAAGTGGTTTGATAAACGGGATCGGTGAACACATGAGCGTGGCGTCGTTGACATGGGCCCTGGAGGAAGAAATGAAAATGAGGACTCCCCCATTCCCTATCCACTTTCCCCACCTTCGTACCCCAGCCCCCTCTGGCACCGTGGGGTTGCTGGTGCTGTTGCGCCGCCAGCAAACTCGATAACTAAGCCACCACTGTGCATGTCGATGGGTCCGCGTGAGCCTACAGGGTTCTAAGCAAATTCGGTGGTGTGGCGCGATTGCCATGGGCTCTGGTGGAAGAATGACAATTTTTTTTGTATTGTTCGTTGTTGTAACGTCATGACGTGCCCCTACTGGACATCGGTGAAAAAAGTTTTATAGCTCATCGCATTCAGAAAATAGACCACGCTCTGTCCGCCAGTACCGTAGATTCCGTCGGTGCAGTTGTACCTCCTGCACGCTACTCGACAGCGACGCCACTCGACCGAGCTGCCCCTTACCTTGCTCGCGCGCACGTCACTCCAGAGCTGGTAGGTGGCAAGCGCGTCCTTTACCGCCTGCTGCATGTCATCCCGCGCCAGGCTCAGGCTCTTGTCCGGCTGCAACTTGCTGGTGGAGATGGCGCACTTCATGTGGTGGTAGTGCTCGTGGATATTCTGTAGCTCCTGGCAAGAGGTCGGGGCGGGTGGGGGGACACCCCACCGCATCTCCAATTAGCACGGTTAGCTACGTACTGTGCGAAAGAAGTTCAACGTACATATATATACATACCGCGCTTAGCAATAGACCAGAGTTCTATGCATTTAACCGTTCGCAACTATTTATCCTCCCCATCCACTCACCAACCAAAGGGACGATGGCCTGTGGCATAATTCGGGGGGTTGCGGTTCGATTCACAAAGCAATTATTTGTCGAATTTGTATCACCTCCGTTTGTATTGTCTTAATCATTCGTTTTGTCTCGCCTGTGCAGTCTTGTTCGCTCCACTGGCCTAAAGCGTATGATTAGCATATAATTTGAATACAATTTTGAAGAAAAAATCATAAACAGGCTATTCTTATAATACACAATTAGTGCATGCATTGTAACGCGTAAGAATGTATTTTAATTGATGACATTGGTGGAAACATCATGCTTTTGTCACGGAGTGCAATTATTTCTAATGGTGGCTAATAAAAATGAATCGGCAAATGTGCAACTGTTCTATGGATTGTTGCATCGCAGGACCAAAGACAGCCATGGTTTGGGGAGGCCTTCATCAAGCAGTGAACTGATCATGACTGATGATGATGAATTGCAAATTCAACTGATGAACTAGTTAGCTCATTCAGTCCACAGACATAAATGAGATACAAACTCCTGAGAATTATGTTATGCAACTGAATACGTTCGGCAATTGTTACAACTTACAACACGGACTCTGTGAGGCATATATTACTTCCTAGTTAATGACATTTCCAATAACTATGGAGCTTGCACAAAACGTGATAATGTCTGCCCAGTGGGCACAGCTGCAATGTGGAAGTACGCGGGTGTGAATGGATTATATGGAGGCGTGTAGGTCATTCTATTCTAATCTTGCGAATGGCAGCAACATTTTCGGAAACCGAATGGCAATGTCTAGGTCTGCTAGCCATGAGAGAGCTTCAGTAGAGTTCGTGTCGTTTTGCTATTCCTCCTCCGTTGAAGGAGCGCACAATCCGGGGATTTAAAAATGGTCCATAGGTTGGGTTGCATGGCTAGTCACACTCCCGTGGTTTGTCTTTCGTATAGGTCATCGCTTCTTGGAAATGAGATGTGTTGTAAATTGTAACCAGCAGGCTCAATAATGTGTTCTCAATAGAATCAGACTGGAGTGTGTCATCATATACAATCAGACTAGTCTGTCGTAAAGACCACGATCTTTTTTCGTGAGCACCAGCTCATAATATTTCCACAATTCCTTAAAAAAGGCCAAATGCTCACATATAATGCACTGGACACATTACTGACGTTTAAAACAGCATCAACACTGTAGCATAGGAGGTGGGTAAAACAAAGTACCATGCAATCTGCTGCTGAGATTTGAACCTACATCTCCTGCCGCATTAAAAATAAACCACCTCGTTCGTGCCTTATCCCTTCAGCTAGAGCTCCTCCGGAGTTAGACTAAGCCACCTCACGTCCTTATTACCCCGTCGGCTGCAGCACCTGCACACAGAGGGTGTTCATGCTTTTCCTAGTCTACACGACTAAGTCACCTAGGCCCTGCTCGCCAGGCACCAACCCCAAAATCTCCCTCGTGCTGCCCCCCACCCGCTCCTTGCCTCGTCGAAGAGTCAGCCAGCCCCCCAAATTGTGGTCGCGATTATGCCCACCGCAGGGCTCTTCAAGTGAAGACCCCCGGGGGGAGCCACGAAGGCTGTTTGAGTGGCCCAACGAGCTATGGCCATCTGAGACTTAAGGGATACCGATTAGCGAGATGAAAATGAGACAAAGTGAGGTGAGACGTCAATACAAGAGGTGCGCATTGGTTAGCGGTCACGTGTAGAGAGATGTTATGGCGTTGCGATGTCATATGACATGACGTATGCAGACAGAACACATGACATCATGTGGCCCGCAGGACATGCTAAATTTATTAAGTTATGGGCCACCTAAAACTTAGAGATAATTTTATTCACGTGTTCCTTAACGGGTGCCACAGTAGCAATATGTTAACTACCTTGCCTAGTATACATACAGGAGGGCGTTGGGTTCGATCCTGAGCCTGTCGCTTATATGTTTGGAGTTTGCATGTTTTCCGAGTGGTCGCGTAGATTTTTTTTTCTTTCCAGGTCCTCCGGTTTTTTCCTCCACATTTAGAATCAACATCACGCATTTAGAGTATTTGGCTGTAATAAATTTCTACATGATAAACCACTGCAATGGGCTATCATTTGTGGCCAAGTTGCCTTACCTGGTAAAATAAAACATAGTTTTGTTTAAATAGATTTCAATAGTTTTCGTTTTCCGACCCCTGGCCTATACTAATCTGCCCACATGCCACAGCCCAGTGTGATCCATCTGCCATGGCGTACCTTGCCCACCTGCGACACTTGTGAAAAAGAGTTATACAGCTGGGTGGGCCTTACCTGGTAAAATGTAAACAAGTTTATAGTTTCATTTATTGTTTGGTCCACTGGAAAATATAGTTGAAGAACCTTGTCCAGTAGCGATCGAGGGTTCACTCACCTCCATGGCATCGGCGCTCACCACACCAGAGACTCGGTTGTGGTTCTGCCGGAGACCCCCATGCTCGTTCATCTTCTCCTTCCATATGTTTGCTTTCCGCATCTTCCCCATGCGGAACATCAGCTGTGTTGAGATATAAAGAGAGATGCAGGTCACCTTATCTGCACGCTACACATACGTTTTTGTTGATCAAAGCAATTTATATTTTTCAACAAGCAAGCCCCGAACAAGGAGGCCTGAAAAGCATAGATGTATAACGAAGAATCTTGATTACAGTCAGGTCAAGGATGGGAAATTATTTCAGACTGGCGACCAGAAACAATGGTGACTCGCTGCAAAAATGGTGATTAAGGAGGAAACATTTGAAGGTCCTCGGGAGACGGGAAATATCACAATCTGACTCGACGTCAAGTATCAAAAAATTTGCCGTGACAGAAGCGATCTCATCTGCAAGACGCAGCGACGGAGAGAGAGAGAGAGAGGTAGAAGGACCAAATAGAGTCATATCCCAACAGCTCAAAGCAGGCAATGAAACGATAAGATGTGACGCTCATCGTGGCAATTCATTGTCATCACTGGCTTCACCAATAATTATTCAAGAATTACAAATATTTGTTTTCTCATTTGTACCATCTATCTTGTTTGTTTTAATCTCGTCTGGCCTGACGTGCACTGTGTCGGTGTGTGTTTAGGGGGACCGCACCGGTGCAGGCAAGGCGGTGTAGTGGAAGGCGTGTTGGTCGCAGAGAGAGCGGTAGATGTAGTCGGCGTCGTAATGCTCTTGCTCCACGATCTCCTGGTACAGCTTGCTCAAGTCGTCCCATTCTTTCAGCGCCAAGCGAATCTGCAGCAACGGCTTTGATTTAAAGTGGCTCACACGCGTGGGTTTTCGGCAGGCATTCCGGCTTCCTCCCACGCGTAAACATGCATTAAATGGCCGAGAACATCTCCATATAAAGAGGACGGCAGAGCTTGGGCAATTTTTAGTGCCGTCTCACTGTGTGGCTGCCTTCCCGCTTGTCTGTGATTCGTCACATCTCTGAGTCATTGTTTCTCTTCGAGGGTGAGTGAATACTGTGCGCATTACAAGCTGAAGGCTATGATTTAAAAAAATGGCTGCACTTGAATGCACATTCAAAAGAACATACATATTCGTCCCGTTTGGCCATCCACTTCTGAACGAGGGCCCCCCCCACCACCATGTGAGGTTGTGGGGGGTGGTTGATCATGCCATACAAGTGGGGAGTAGCTTAAAGCACCTCCGATTAGCACGATTGGCTACGTACGGTGCAGAAGAGCTTCAACATAATGCATACAAAATTAAACCAACGAGCATAAAAAAAACATAATATATTTTTGGCAAAAACAGTTAACCGGCCTACCAGATAATGCACCCATGGATAACCGAGAGTTAACTACAAGTGCCAAGGAAGGTGTCTATTGGCACGCAGATTGTGAGCCTTGCCTTGCGTCTTGGTTGGCACAGCTGCGTGTGGTAGATGGCGTACAGCAGGTACAGCGCCCCCACACGCACCTGGAAGCTGTAGATGGGGGACAGGTACTGCGAGGCGAGCAGAATCAGCTCCTCCGTGAACTCCTTGCGATCCTGGTCCTTCACAAAGCCACTGCACACAGCACGGTGCCACGCAGATGTGAGCACACGCAGATGTCACTCGCATTGCCACACGCACTTACAGTCTACTCGTGATTATCCAGGGTGATGGGGATCAGGGATCTCACGAATAAAACAAAGACAATGCAAATAATGGAAATTAAGGCTATAAAAACGCAATGATTGTGCACTAGTCGACATTGCCCTTTGCTGACAACGTAGCTTGTAATACTGTAAAGAAGGGAGTGATGCTCTAGACAGGAAGTAGAGGTGTAAGGACCATCACTAGTGACAATAAGCGATAAGTCAACTGTGACTGCGATTCCTCGTGAAGATGCGAAGCAGCAACGATGCTTAAGCCGGCAGGCAGAGAATGTCAGGACGTCACAAGTGAATGGGTAAGAAGTTCACCGGAGTGAATAAGATGACCATCGTGACTACTGCTGCCTATGACGATGCAAAGCAGTTAAATTATGCTCTAGCTAGGTGGCCGAGAAATTTAGATCTATCATTAGCAAAAGCGGGAGCGATGTTCTCCGTGATCACCGTTGCTTAAACGTGCAAATGCACGGGTGACACGTGGGTCGAGAGGCAGGGCGAGTTCATGGCCCACAAAAGTGAGTGGGTAAAAAATGGTTCAGCACACCCACCACCACTCCGTGTATAACGCGGAGGAGAGAATGACGCAACGTGAGGCATGAGCGGAGTGTAAGGCCCTCACTGGTAAACGAGCGAATGTGAGGCCCTCCAAGGTGAACTGGACGAGCGAGTGTGAGGCCCTCACTGGTGGACGAGCGAGTGTGAGGCCCTCACTGGTGGACGAGCGAGTGTGAGGCCCTCACTGGTGGACGAGCGAGTGTGAGGCCCTCACTGGTGGTCGAGCGAGTGTAAGGCCCTCACTGGTGGACGAGCGAGTGTGAGGCCCTCACTGGTGGACGAGCGAGTGTGAGGCCCTCACTGGTGGACGAGCGAGTGTGAGGCCCTCACTGGTGGACGAGCGAGTGTGAGGCCCTCACTGGTGGACAAGCGAGTGTGAGGCCCTCACTGGTGGACGAGCGAGTGTGAGGCCCTCACTGGTGGACGAGAGAGTGTGAGGCCCTCACTGGTGGACGAGCGAGTGCGAGGCCCTCACTGGTGAATGAGCGAGTGCGAGGCCCTCACTGGTGAATGAGCGAGAAGTTCATGTCGCGCCACACGGCCGCGAAGTCCTCGTAGCGCACGCTGTCGGTGCGGCGGAAGCGATCGAGGAGCTGCTCGCAGTCCGCGCGGGACCCGGCCGCGCCGGCCATCGCTGTGCGAAAGGTTCCAGCAGAGGTGTGGGGGGGGGGGTCGCGGGGGTAACCCCCACGTGGAACTCGGGTGGCCTTGAGAGCAGCGCGCTCACGGTGGGAGTCCGGGGTCACGGAAGATCTTCGTCGTGTCCTCGGCTGTGGCAATGACCGCCGGGCAAAGACCCGCAACTGCGGCAAAACAGGAATGCGTTAGCTCGCGATGGGGGTACGCGTCTTCGTTATGTCACCCGCGGAACATCAGCAGCGAGACACCCATGCCCGGGTGTCAATCAAATAATGTTCGGTTAACTTTTTTGGGTTTTGATTAAGTGCCGTTCGTGATGTACGAGTGTAAACACCACGGCGTTCAAACCACGCGCCGTGTCAGTCTGCGGGGGTCATTTGACCCCACTTCGTCACGTTGGTGAGTGTGCGGTTTTGCTGAAGGCGGGCGGGAACGACGCTGAGCCAGAGGAGCAGTACAACAACGGGGTTGACGATGCCCTCTACTGCCCACAACGAGCACGGCCGATTGACTACCAACGCTATTTGTCAATGGAAATCGCCGACTTTTTCCTCAACTTTACACGCAAATAAATTGTTATTTTTTTTTCCAAGTAAGGGTGACTCGCACGTTATTTAATTGCAGTACTGTAGTGAGACGAGTGCACGTACCACTAAAATGCATAACTTAATACCGCATGACAATAGTGTCGGGTGGGCGAGAAGCCCTATATACTCCTGCCATAAAGATTCGCCATACCCGTAGCGGTTTCCGCCCAACGTGTACGGTACCATTCTGCACAAAGCGGAGATGCTTGGTCACTAACCCCATGAGGGAAACGACGCAATAATAAACTGCAATTATATAAATGTAATAACGATCAGAAAGTTTCACTCGCAAATAATACAACATGTAGAAGTGCTAGACTAGCTAGGCCGCATAGGGCCTAAGCAATGCAAAGATCATCCCTTTCGCGCTCAATTTCAGCACGCATCTCTCCTTTCTTGTTAAACATACGTAAAAGATAGCTCGTTAACGTCTCAAGAAAACACATAGGAGCGTTTAGGCTTACGCAGCAATGCTGGTGTTGTTTTCCGGCCTGTAAACGTTCGCGTGTGGCGGGAATTGTTTGTTGATCTGAGACCACAGCGCTTGTCCGAGAAGCTTCCGTCACAACCGCAGGGAAATCGCTTCTGTCTGAACCTCGCGTCATGGTGAAGTATTTTCTGGAATATAAGACGCACCCGCCTCCCCCCCCCGTAACAAGGTACAATTAATCCGGGGCACAATTAATTAATTAATAATCAATATTAATAATTATGTTAATATTCTTGGTTCTTTCGGTAAAGTCACGTAGAATGGAAACAATAAAATAATAAAAATAATATATATTTTTTTATTTTATTGACTTTACCGAAAGAACCAATAATATGAATCCCTGCAGTCACGAAAGCTTTAAATAAAATTGTATTACGTTAATGTCAAATTCCCTTATATGGAGGAATTGGGCGCGCCTTTGCCCACCTAAGGAATACTGGCACGGGATTCGACGTATTTGTATGGATCTCAAGCTCGACTAAACGGGAATCGATCGATTTCACTCCCCGTGTCTGCAGTGGATCAAGCGTGGATCAAGCTGCGACAGTCCGAATAACAAAACTTCGGCAAAGTGATTCCTAATAATGAATTAAAGCTTTCGTGACTGCATTATTTACTCATTGTTTTTTTCGGTAATTTATGCAGTCACGAAAGCTTTAATTCTTTATTAACACACTTCTACGGGGAAGTGTACCTTTGCAATTCTGTCCTAAACGTGGTGTGCCCCACACTTGCTCCCCCCCCCCGCCTCTGCATCACGTGCTTCCCCCCGCCTCTGCAGCACGTGCTTCCTCCTGCCCCTCCCCCCCTCTGCAGCACGTGCTTCCTCCTGCCCCTCCCCCCCTCTGCAGCACGTGCTTCCTCCTGCCCCTCCCCCCCTCTGCAGCACGTGCTTCCTCCTGCCCCTCCCCCCCTCTGCAGCACGTGCTTCCTCCTGCCCCTCCCCCCTCTGCAGCACGTGCTTCCTCCTGCCCCTCCCCCCCTCTGCAGCACGTGCTTCCTCCTGCCCCTCCCCCCCCTCTGCAGCACGTGCTTCCTCCTGCCCCTCCCCCCCTCTGCAGCACGTGCTTCCTCCTGCCCCTCCCCCCCTCTGCAGCACGTGCTTCCTCCTGCCCCTCCCCCCCTTTGCAGCACGTGCTTCCTCCTGCCCCCCCTCTGCAGCACGTGCTTCCTCCTGCCCCGCCCTTTCTCTCTGGCCCCTCCCCCCACCTTCACTTCTTATTTAAAGCTTCCGTTTCATCCGACCTTACTTCTCTGTCCGTCCTTGCCTCTTGGTGTCCCTGTATATGTATTTCTGACTTGCACCTCGTATTTGTTCACTCTGTCTATGCTGGTATATTCAATCCAGAGGTTGGACACGAAATTTAACACTCTTCTGAAATTCGTGGTCCGCCAGGCAAGTGTCTAACCGTGTTGTTGACCTGACTGGTTGTGTATCACGTGTTTTTTTCCTTAGGTGTGTTGAATTCTCGTCTCTCATCTTCTTGTTGTATTTACCTCCGTGATTTGTTTCTTACGCCTGATGAAGATCGCTTGTGTTGCGGTCGAAACGCCGTGATTGATTTGTTTTAATATAATGTTATGGTATTCCTACAGACGTGACTTTACCGAAAAAACCAATGAGTAAAGTGATTCCTGTCACGTGACTTATGGATCTAAAGAGGCGATTTGTGAATTGAAGAAAAAAAAACGGCCACGTGAGACCGCCCCTCGACACCTGATTTGCTTTCTTCTGTCGTAACAACATAATTCGTTCTGTCGCGGATTCATCTTATCCTGAAATGGCGCAACTGTGTTGGTGGTGTGATTCTAGATTTGAAGCTTTCGTGACTGCAAGGATCCATACTCTTTGGTTCTTACGTGACTTTACCGAATAGAACCAAAGAGGGTGGTGTGATTGTTCTGTTCCTGGCCTGGTATGCAGGAGATCGCCTGTATATTTACGCCTGTATACAGTAGTCCCCGACTTACGATGCGTTACGACGACCACCATCGTAAGTCGAAAATATCGTAAGTCGAAAATGGCCTGAGCCTACCCAGGAGTCTTAAAGAATGGTGACAGAGCAATTTATAGTACCGTACTGTATAAAATATATACTTTATGTATTTATTAATTACAATACTGTATTGCACAGTAAAATTTAAAGTAAAAAAAAACAAAGTCACGTAGAAGGGAAACAATAAAATAATAAAAATATAAAACAATACAATTCTCACGACGTTTCGACTGCAACACAAGCAATCATCATCAGGTGTGAAAACCACAAGAAAATTTGAAAAAAAGTGGCGGTTTTTTAACGTTCGCACCACGGAGAGCGATTTGACAGTTTGTTCAGATGGACGAGTCCATCTATGTTCGGAAAAGAGGAGGGGGGAGACGAAAAATAATGGATGTGGTCTGAAAGCCACCTTAAGCGTGATCAATCAATTAAGACCTGAAATGGTTTATCAAATCCTTCCAATAATTGCTAAGCCAGAATCCATCTTCTCGGTTGAAATTGTCTGTGTTTGTATATGTGGATAGCCTCATGAACGAATCTCTCATGGTAGTCAGATGGCTTACAAAGAACCTCTGTCTTGGAGAAGTCAATGTCATGTGAGCCTACTGAATTATAACAGTGATCTTCCACGGCCGAGGTGTTGGTCCTACCGTGTTTAAGGTCTGCTTTGTGTTCACGAATGCGGTCTGAGACATGTCGTTTGGTTTCTCCAATGTAACTACTACCACAGAGGCAACCTAGTTTGTAGACGCCAGGGTACTGTATGTCCGGAATCACATCTTTTACAGATGGAACCAGATCACGGATTTTATATAATGTGTTTAATCGGACCTGGATCTTGTGTTTATTCAAGATTTTGGAGATCTTTTTTGTGATCCCCGCAATGTAGGGTAAAGTGATGGTTTTGAAAGGCTCCTCAAGAGGGTCCTTCTTCATGGTTGGAGTGATAGCTTTGCGGATTGTGTAGTCGGAATAACCATTAGCCTTAAGAGCTTGGTGTACGTAGTTACATTGGAGAAACCAAACCACATGTCTCGGACCGCATTCGTGAACACAAAGCAGACCTGAAACACGGTAGGACCAACACCTCGGCCGTGGCAGATCACTGTTATAATTCAGTAGGTTCACATGACATTGACTTCTCCAAGACAGAGGTTCTTTGCAAGCCATCTGGCTACCATGAGAGATTCGTTCATGAGGCTATCCACATATACAAACACAGAGACAATTTCAACCGTTTGCCTGCCGCGCGAAATTAAAACATATTTTACAATTTTGTCATCGCCATCGTAAGATCGAAATATCGTAAGTCGAACCGTCGTAAGTCGGGGACTGTGTCGTAAGTCGGGGACTACATGTATTTGGAATTTGCGCGTCTCTCCCCAAGTTCACGTGAACATTTTTTCCGGGTCCTACCGGTTTTTCCCTCCACATTTGGTAACAAGCGTTTATGATATTTTGATTATTTTGCCGCTATACATTTCCACATTTGCGACTTTGTTGAGCTATCACTTGCGGCCAGGTCGATTCTGAAAAAAAAAAACCTTAATAGCTCGGTGAGCTTTACCTGGTAAGATAAAAAAATAGATATACTTTAGTTTCATTTATATATTGTTTTAAATGATTTGTTTATCTTTCCTATATTTTGCACTCAGTGTTTTTGTATTGTTTTTGTTGTTGTTGTAACGTTGACCCGCCCTTACTGGACACCTGTGAAAAAGAGCTTTATAGCTCATCGGATTCCTCCAGTTGAAATATTCTGCTTCTGAAACCCTGGACCGGTTTCAAAACACAGTCTCATCAGCAGCATCAGGCTTGCTTGAATCAATGCTGCTGAAATGCCAGATGTTACAGGAATTGATGCTTAGACATGGGCCCGAGTTCAATGCAAATTATGTAATATTTAACTGAAAGCAACCATTCGCGTTGTTGTGAAGAATATAAATAACAATATAGATAAGCAGTATCCGTATATCCGCCTTGCCAATCATCAGACCTGTGTAGTGTGTAACGGCTTTTTATTAACTCGCTCTGTTGTTGTATCCTCAAATCTTGTAACTCAATTTTAACCCACTTGACAATGTGGTATCCACTGCAAACTTGGTATACTTATGTCATACTGATGACAATACTCTATTCTATCATTAATATATTTTTAAACATTAATTTTTATGTTATGTTTCGGCTTGGGTCTAATTGTCCACGCTCAACTGACGTTGGCTGTAATTGACCCACGGTCCCCTTACGTTGTGGCAAGCTTCGGGGCCACTTCCTGGAGTCATGGAGTTCTTCCATTACCTGTACGGTACATTTCATTAAAGCGTGTTAAAAAAAAGTTTTTAAAGTATTATTTTATTTGTATATGAAGATTGCCATACCGTGGTGGGAGCCACGAGGAGTGGAGTGCACAAATTTGTGTTCTTTTCGGCTGTCTGCCAATCCACTGCTGGATGAAGGCCACCACTTCTCCCCCCCCCCCCCCCACACGCCATTGTGAGCCATTGTAGTTGTGCGACACATTCTCTTTGAATTAAATGCACCCCACTGTGAACATTGCCAGAGTGAAATTTATTATTTACAGTAAAATAACGATTCCATAATTGCAAAGACCACATTTACTTGAAGGACAGCAAGTTTATTACAAAAAACCCATCAGTTTGTTGAAATGGTGGTCTGTACGTTTCTTTTACCGTTTAGACAGGGCTTGGTCAATCCATCGCTATCTTAAGGCCTCTTCCACGCCGTGTTGGGCGCCAGAGCCGTTTTACCATACTTCACCAAGTTGGTCAACTGTGAGATGGTCCCAGGACTGTTTCGGGTATCACTTGCCACTGATGTAAAATGTGGCCAGAAATTAAATTCAGGTCACTGGGTTAAAAGCGCACTGCACTAACCACTGTTGCCACCACTCCCACCTCATGACTATATATTAAAGCGTTATACATCTTTATCAACTTATGGCCACGACGTGCAATAATAAAATATACAGTAACGCGAAAAAAACGCCCAACATCACCCAGATATTGCCATACACACGTTTGCACTCATAAGAGATACCGGCATCACAGTTTTTTTTTTCAGAAAATAATCTTAGACAAAACATTTCAAAAAGAAAACATTTAATGCAATAAAACAGTAATTTCATGAGTTGGATTTGGTGCAATTAAGCCTATGATTGTTTAACAGCCTGAACAGCTCCTGCAGTATTAAGGCCACCTTGTTGTGCTTCCTGCAACATTTGATTTTGGAACGCAATTTGATAATCACGGAGGTTCGCGATGCATTGCTACGAAGGTAAAGCCCATCAGTGGCCCACTCTATCAAGTCAGACCCCAGGCTTCTGTGTGCTTGATTATAAGGCCACCAAACTTCTGGCAGGCTCAACCAGGACACGTGGCAAGCTTGGCAGCCCCTCCTCCTTCCCACTATCGGCCACGCCTACTTTTACATAAAACACATTCACTCAATCACTCAAGTCCCATCCACATATCGAGGCCCCCACCTACTCATTTGCTCACCCCACCCACCACTCGGCCATGCGTGAGACTAGAACATTTAAAACGGGGATAACCTCACACTTCTCACAAAAGCTGTGAAAAACTAGAATGGCCTTTGAGAAATCGAGCCTGTCCTGGCCAATGTCTGGTAGCCTTAGCTTGACGCGATTCATCACTGCGACGATCTAAGTAAAACATTCACATTTTTTCTGTTACGATTTCATCCCAATTCTATCGGCATCATGTCACGTGATGAAATACCAATTCGTATCTCTCGCAGAGCAGGGCCAACCCTTCCTGTTTGACTGAAAGGATTCCACCAAAACCCCTTAAAGCAAACTTCGATCCATTTGAGGGCCGCACTTTACCACCCGCTCCATCAGTCAGAGTAATGTTAGTCACATGACACCTAGAGATTTCTCCTCCAGAGTCCAGAATCGCGTCCAGCTTTTCACGTCCACATTTTTGGCAATTAGACTAACTGCACACATTCTGGAAAAGCAACAATTTGGCCGGCAAGAAAAGTAAAATAAAACTTGTGCAAGTACAGACGTCCGGTTCACGATTAGCACCAGAATGAACCAAGATTGTCCAACGCAGAAATCTGGCCTCAACGTGGATCCAGTAGTCTGGGGGCTTTGGCCAGTTTTATGAAGCACCTCAAATGCAGTTTTCACTTAGTTGGTCACCTAAATGCCAATGCTTTATTGACCTAGGGAAGCCTCATCGAGAGGCTAGACTTTTTTTTCCAAAAGAGGGTCCTGCTACTACATTGAGATGTTTGGGCAGAAATGAAAGTTTGGCTTCATGTGAGAGGAAACTGGAGAAACCCCGTGACACATTATATGATGACACTCAACATTACCATATCCTCGCCCCCTCAGTCCATCCCACGATTACAACACCTGGCAAGCTCTGGCAGTCGCAAATCCAAGTACGAACCAGGTGCCACCCTGCCTAGCATCCCGGCTTTGACAAGATCTGGCACATTTAGGGCGATTTGGCCATAGGCAGTGTAGGTTAAGAGGAAAGAGAAATCCTTTCGGACATGGAGGGATAAGATGGTACAGCACCAAAGACAGGGAAAGAGACAAGCCATCGTGGAGAGAGTTGACAGCTGATGCATCAGTGGCACTCGCATGACCATTAGGATTAAGAGAGAGAGATTATAGTCCGTGAGCCAAGACCAGATTTCACTTGTTGGTACCACCTGAGCTGGCATAACTTTAGTGGACTGGCAAACGTGGAGATAGTTCACAGCTAATGCTTCAGTGGCACTCCTATGACCATTGTATGCTTGAGAAAGAGATTATAGTCCGGGAGCCAAGGCTAGATATTTCACTTGTCAGTACTAACTGAGCTGGCATAACCTTAGTGGTTCTAATTTATTTACTTAGCCAATAACAGTAAATTGTGATAATCATTTCAAATGAGTGTCTTAACAAATAATTTACTCGTATGAGCTATGTAAATGAATCATTACTACTATAGCTAACACTGGTGAGACAAGGCCATTAAGAAAGCTGTCCCTGGTGTAGGCTCATCAGTTTCAATGCCAATGCATATATTATCAGAGCATGTTTGTTTGCACGTGCTTCATGCAGCCTTGATGCCTTGCAATAGGTGTTCTCTTTGGTGTTTGAACATCTGAACACCTTCGATGTCATCGCTAGACAAGGGTAAAGCCTATTCTTTTGATATTTCACCATTTTGATACTGGCAAAAAAAAGGTCCCATTGATACTGTATCTGTGCTACCTTAGGTGGTACAAATTTCTGCTCTGGCCCATGCACTATGCGATGAGACACAACCGGACAATGGCCTGCAAGTCTCGCTGGCAATGCCTGAATTTCATCTCCCTTATGGGCAGTGGTGACCAGCGAGTAAATATAACAGGGGTGCCGCGGTGGCGAGATGTTAACTACCTCGCCTGGTACACAGGAGGTCGTAGGTTCGACCCCAAGCCTGACGCCTGCTGCATATTTGGAGTTTGTGTCTCTCTCCCCGTGGTCGTGTGAATTTTTGTCAAGGTCCTCCAGTTTTTCCCTCCACATTTAGAATCAACGTGCATTTCGAGCATTTGGCTGCTATACATGTACACGTGATAAGCCACTTCGTTGAGCTATCATTTGTGGTCAGGTCGTTTCTAGAAAAAGAGCTATATATAGCTCAGTGAGTTTAACCTGGTAAAATAAAAAAATGTTTTAGTTATATTGGTGGGGTATGGAAGCCTGCGTTGGGGGATGTAGGGGAGGATGATGAGGGGATGGTGGGGGAGTGGGGTGTACGCTGCTTAAAATCTTTACGATGATGTTATCATTGTTACCAAAGCCATTAATGCCACCACGCCTCGCCAAGAATCTTCATGTATGTGTGTGTTGAACTTCTTTCACGCTGTACGTAGCCAACTGTACTCATCGGAGCGTGCGGGAATGAGCAGGCAAAGCATTGTTATGTTGTGAAGCGTTCTCTAACCATTCCATTTTGACGAGTAGGGGCCTGGCCTGGGTCTGTGCAACCGAGCTCGTGCACAAACGTCACCGCTCGGGGCGAAAACTCGCGCCGGTTCATCTGGGCCACCATTGCCCTAAATATGAATTATGAAGAGAGAGGTGGAGGGAGAGGTGATGATGGTTTTTGTGGCCACGGGAACGAGGAGGAGAGACTCCCCAGCGCCTCCCTCCGGCTGGGACCGCTGAAGTGGCGGTCTCTCCAGAGTCGACGCTGGGTTGCTGGCCGATGTTCGTTTCAAGTCTTTCGAGAAGTTGCAAGCGTTGAGATTTTGTTGCTGCGGTTGGCTCAAGGCACCTCCGCTCTCTGCTTGGCTTTGATTCGAGGAAAGAGCTGTCGGCGAGAAAAAAGTAACCGGGGGGGGGGAGTGGATTTAACTCGTTAACGAAAGCCTTTACGTTATTTAACGAGCCTGAGGAGATGCAAGCCGCTCTGAACGCGCGACATTACGACGGCACTCCGGGAGGATACGCACCCCGACGAAGTTGCGCGGGATGTACCCCTCGCGTTCGCCCAGCCGCGCCCACCACCACTCGTCTTCCAGCTCGTCGCCACGTCGCAGCACCGTCATCGAGTCGTCTTCGGCGAACGACAGCTCGTCCTCCTCCTCGGCGTGCCGCTCCCACAGCGCGTACACCACGCAGCGGTGCATCAGGCCCAGGTTGTTCTGGAGGCCTGCGCTCCCGGCACACGAAACAAAGACAAAGATCCCCGCCCCCCCGCCGTCTAGCCTTAACTTTTGGTGCAAGTGCTGTTAGCGAGCGCCTGTGAAGGCTGACACAGCACACAAGGGGGTAGGTGGCCAGCACCACTCTCGCACACAAAGACAAAGATTCCCCGTATAGCCTTAACAAACTTTTGGTGCAAGTGCTGTTAGCGAGCGCCTGTGAAGGCTGACACAGCACACGAGGGGGTAGGTGGCCAGCACCACTCTCGCACACAAAGACAAAGATTCCCCGCATAGCCTTAACAAACTTTTGGGGCCAGTAATGTTAGCGGAGCACCTATGAAGGCCTGAATGGTACACGATGGGGTGGGTGGCCAGCACCACACCCGGATGCCTTTTTCTGCCTAGTGGCGGTGTTCCATTACACTGCGTCAGGTACTCATTTGAGGCCGAGTCAACCTTGGGAAGGCCCAGGACCGGTTCAGATAATCGTCACCGGTGTTGGTGGCCGTAAGCGGCAATCGAACACGGGTCGCCGGGTTCATAGCACAGCACGCAAACCGCTACTCCGTACATTAACACACGCACACACACACACACGGACTGGCGGGCGCACCGTGCATGAACTGCGAGCACTGCTGGAATCCATCCTCCATGAGCTCGCATTTGTCCGCCGCGGTCTGCCGGTCGCTCAGGGTGGTGCTGAAGATGGCCGCTCCGCTCTCCACCAGCGTCTTGCACAGCAGCACATTGTTGCAGGAGGCAGCGCAGTGCAGCGGTGTCCTGGGGGACGTGGGGAGTGGCGGGGGGGGGAGGGAAGGGAAGCAGGGAGAGGGGCAGGGGAAACCTGTGTTCAGTGCCGGCTCAGTGCTCGGACACGGCATCACCCGTTATGTTTACCTGGGTAGGTTTTTTTCCTGTGCATTCATTGCTGACCAGGCTGAGGCTGTGAACTCGCCACACTTGAAAATGTGGTTTAATCACGGACAACCCGGATTCAAACCCAGGGATTCTTCAGCTGTGCCGGCTCAGTGCTCAGTTGCAGAACCAGACCCCTCGGGGCACCCAGACAGCCCCAATTACACAACAACGAGCTCGCTAATTACCACTAACCATGCTGCATCTTGGACGGTTCTCAGCCCATTTAACGACCAATCCAAACTGTTATTCCAAGTAAAGTAAGAAAAATCATGAATATGCATAGAAACTGTAAGGAATTCCAACGTGCGTTTGTCCTCAGAAGTGTTCAGTTAGCGAGAATAATGATAGCTTCCGAGCCGCACGGGATGATGTCATGTCCGCACGACGTGTGATGCCGCCTGATGATGTAATAGGGAGGCGAGGCACTCTCGTTGGTGCTGCCCTGGCCGCCGGGGCAGCACCAACGAGTCCCAGGGCAGTCGGAGGAAATCAAAAATCCAACCCAACCCAGCTCAACCCAGCTGGCCAAACCAGCCACTGTTGTGTGTCATATATCATGAGCCATGTGCTATGTGGTGCCATGTGCCATTCTCCATGAGCTGTATGATATGTGGTACCGTGTGCCATATGCCATGTGGTGCAATATGTCATGAGCCACGTGGTGCCATGTGTCATTATCATGTGCCATGTGGTGCCATGTTGTGCCATGTGGTGCCATGTGTCATGTGGCACATGTGGCGTACCAGCCGTCGCTGTCCCCGGCGTTGACATTGACGCCGGCCTGCAGCAGGTAGTTGACGATGTTCATGTGCCCGGCGCACACGGCGTTGTGCAGTGCCGTGATGCCCTCGTCATTTGGCTGGCTCGGGTCGTCCACCTGTGCAGAGAGGTGGTGACAGGGTGTAAGCCAAAACCACAAAAATGCCATCATCATCATCGTCGTCGTTATTGTTGTCATCATACCCTACCTATATCCACATCTCTAATCGTAGCTCTAGCAATAGCACTAATCTCAGCCCGAATCCGACCTGTAGACCTCGCTCTAACCCTAACACTGGTCCCATCTCTAGTTCTACCCCTAACCCCACCCCCTAGCCTTAATCATTAGAAATCATAACCCTAACGCGTACTCCGAGTCTAACCTTACCCCCTGACTATAACCTTAACCTACGAGTCCACCTCTAACCTAACCCCCCCGAGTCTACCCCAAACCCCCATGCACCTCAGGGAAGATTTTGTTCACGAGGTCGTAGTCCCCCTCGAGGGCGGAGTCCAGGAGGATGGCGAACGGATCGAACTGCACGCGCATCGCGTGGTCCGTGCGCTCCGAGCCGGGCTTCTTCACGTTCGTCCGCTTGCCCTGCGTGGACGATGCACACACGCGAATTGACGCATGTTCGTCACGCTGTTGCATCGCAGTGCATCAAGAAACGTGCGCGCGGGCGGACGGACATACCATGTTCTACACATAACGGACGTTTTATTTGTTTTTGGGGGGGGGGGGGTGGCCGAGAGTCCTGACAAGTGTTCTCAGGAGCTTGTGGGCGATGATGATGTTGATGATTGCCACGTATAAACCCGATTGAGTAATCCTGCAGGGCCATTTTTCAAATTTGGCAACGATTGTATCACGACGGCGACACACGCGTGGAGGCCGCGGCGTTGAGAGCGAGGGCGGCCTCACCGGAGGGAGCGGCCCGCAGGACGAGATGATCTCGGGGACGATGTCGAGCTCCGGCGAGGACGGGTACGGTGGCGGCGGCGACTGCGGCATGTCGGGAATCTCCTCCTCCGCCGGACCCTCGTCTCCCGTGAGCGCCGGAACGGTCGCCGTGACGACCGCGGAGCCCGGGCCCGCCTTGCCTGCCGTCAGGTACGGGTTTGGGATGAACTCCTCTTCGTCCTCCTCCTCTGCGTTCGCATCTCCCTCCTGTTGATGGCAATTTTTTTTTTTAAATGAATGTCACGCTTGTCCAAAAAAATCGGTTGTGCGTTCATATCAGGGCCGGAGAAACCTACGACTGACAGGCCAGGCCCGAGCCCACAACTCCATTTCCCCAAGGCCCACGGCCTACATGAGGCCTACCACTTGGCAATGGCCTGCAAATGATATCCATCACTGTGAGCATCTGAGCCCCTCCAATCGGGTATGAATGGGGAAGGATATTTTTCACCTGGCAACATTACGTTTCTATGGGCTGCAAAAAAAATAACCTACATGTTAAATGAAGCTTTGCTTATAATATTAGTGCTGTGCTCCGTTACTACTTCTGCTTCATCTCTAATAAAAGTGAAAAGGCTGTGTGTGTGCATCAGTGTGTGGCCCGCAAAGGGTATTTAAAAGTCCTATTCGGCCCTCGGGTTCCTCACCCCTGATTTACATGTTCCATTTCATCAGCCTTATCTCGATGCCAAACCCACACCCTAACCCCGACTCTCACCTCCATCGTCAAGGGCGACGGTGGGGGGCTCTCGCTCACGGTCGAATCGAAGCTCTCGGCTGATAGTAACTCCTGGGGCGGCGACACCGCGGCAGCCTCCACCGACACCCTCTCATCGTCGTTGTCATCGTCCTCCTGCGCTGGTGCCACAACCACCAGCACCACTGCTTTCATCTCCCTCTCTGCGCCAGCGTCTGGACGGAGCTTCGGACCCGACCCCGCATCCGATAGTGCTGCCACCGCCGTCCCCTCTGTGCCGCCATCTCCGTCAACTTCCCGACGGTCACCCCCGTTCTTGAACTGGGCCTTGATGGCGAGGCCCTTCTGCAGGGCATCCTGCCTCGCCTGGTAGCGCTGCAGGATGAGGCGCTGCAGGTTGGGCCCATTGGGGCCCTCGGCCTCGGTGAGCGAGCTGCGCTTCTTGAGTGGCCGCGGCGCGTTGGCCAGGCGCCGCCTCAGCGCCTCCAGGTCGGCGTCGCTGGTGCCGCCCTGCTGCTGCGACAGGCTCAGGAAGGGCAGCAGCTTGGTGGGGCTCAGGGGGCGAGGCCGCGTAAATTCGCCACCCCTCCCACTGTCGCCGCTGCTGCTGCCCGCCAGTGGCGTCCCTTTCACCTCCACCTTCCTCTTTTCCTCCTTCTCCTTGCCCTTTTGCTGCTGCTGCTGCTGCTTTTTGCCTGCGTTCTCCGCCACCCCTGGTTTGTTAGGGGGTGGCTGCAAGACCTCGCAGCTCGTTTCCCCGTTCTCTTGATTAACGACAGCTCTGTGAGTTGTTTCCGGGCCGGACGTCGATGCCGTTTTCTCGACGGGGGTTGCCGCTGGATGGGGTTTTTCCGGCAGGGCACCACGACTCAGAGCGAGGCCATCCGGATGCTCCAGGCTGAGCTTTGGGGCCTCCTCGGTCTTAGTGGAAGGCATCAACGGCTTCACGTGAACTGTGAGGATACAAACAGCCACGAACAAAATATACAATTTATTGTTTACATTTTTTTTTTAATTTTACCAGGTAAGACCCCACTGAGCTATATCGCTCTTTTAAAGAAGCGATCTGGACACAAATGATAGCTCAACGAAGTGGTTTTATCATATAGAAATGTATAGAAGCCAAATCCTCTAAGCACATGATTATAAATGTGGAGGGAAAATCCGAAGGATCCGGAGAAAATCTACGCGACAACAGGGAGAACATGCAAACTCCTAATATACAGCAGCAGGTGTCAGCGTCGGGATCGAACCCACAACCTCCTGTATACCAGGCGAGGTGGTTAACATTCCACCATAGGGATTCATCATTCATGGCAAATTAATAAACACAGTCTCCCCCCCACCGCCTCCCCTGCCCCCACCCACCACTGTACGACTGCAGTCACCAGCCTCATCCACCAGTCTATGGGTGTGTTTAAATCTGTGGGTGTCCACGCAAGTCTTTGGGTGTCTCTACGAGTCTATGAATCTTTTTGGAAGTCTACAGCTCAAGCCGTGGGCCGCATATTACGCCATTGCCCATTTCTATCATTCACCGTTTCAGGTGGGCCATGTATAATGTCCCCAGATGACTTTACAGAACTACATCTGAAGTCACCTCAAATGGCTTCTTTATCCGCATAAGGGGCACCTCTCAAAGCTACATTTTAATTCCCAGAGCTGGCCTTCACCCTTTTTTAATCAAGTAAAATTCCACGTGGCTTTTTTTTGCGCAGTCATTGGCAACCACGCTAAGACCATAAAATTCGCCACACTTGAGAACCTGCTTTAATTACAGGTGGCTGAAGCCCAGATTAAAATCCAAGGCATAGAGCCAGATTGTATCGAAGTGGAGTGACAAATTACATTTTATTGGACAGGTTTTTTTTTGCGTGCAGCCATTGGCGACTGGACTGACACTGTGGCGAGAAGTTATCTCCGTTGCCTGGTAAGCAGGAGGTTCGTGGGTTCAATCCCGACCCTGACGCCTGCATATTTGGAGCTTGCATGTTCTCCCTGTGGTCGTGTGGATTTTTCTCCGGGTCCTCCGGTTTTTCCCCTCCACATTTGAAAACGCGCGTTTAGAGCATTTGGCTGCTATAAATGTCCACGTGATAAGCCACTTCGTTGAGCTATCTTTGTGGCCAGGTCGCTTCTGAAAAAGAGCTATACAGCTCAGTGGGCCTTACCTGGTAAAATAAAACGTGGTCACCACACTTGAGAATGCAGTTTAACCACGGGCGTCTGAAACCCGGACTCAAACCCAGAATTTTCAGCTGTGCCGGCTCCGTTGCAGAACCAGGCCCCCCCAGGCCGCCCAGACAGCGAAAATTACAAAGCAACGATCTCGCTAATTGCCACTAACCATGCTGCATCTTGGACGGTTCTCAGCCCTTAACTACCAATAAAAAGTCCACAATGTTTTCCCACCAACCTGGTTTTGTGTTTAATGTTGCCATCACGTGACTTTTCAAGCAGCACGACGATGTAATATCACGCGGCGCGCCACGTGTGACGTCATTACCTTGCTCAGCCCGGTTGAAAACTTTCAGCACTGTTTTGTTTTTTTGTTATCGCCAAGTGTTGGGCAATAACCCATTGGATCAATGTGTCCGGATTTGTCAAGGGTGAATCGCTGATAGCGACAAGAAAGAAATGTCAATTCATATTGGATCATCTTTAAAAGAGTTACGGTCCCCCACCCCCCATTACACATGGACAGCGCAAATGCATTAAGGCTCTCAGCCTTCGTTGGAAAGCGTGAAAGCATTTAATCAGCTCTTTGTCAATCAGCTGCTGGACGAAGAAAACCCATGCAGTGTCGGTCAAACAGGTACTTTGACCATACTTCACCATACCGGTCAGTGTGGAATGGTGAAGGGGGTGATACCCAGAAACGGTTCAGATACTACTCCACTATTTTTATTTGTCCCCCGCGGCCAGGAAGTAAATTTGTGAGGCTGATGGCAAGTGCGTTCCCCGCTGCGCTCTGCACCGTGCATCTAATGCGTCGCTCATTGTACCCGTGGAAAAATGGGGAACACGACAAGGATGGCCGATGAATAAATATACATCGGTGTATTTCTACGGCGGTGGCGTACCGGCAGGGAATGGCATGGGCCGGACTCCGTGGCCTCGCTGCATCGTCTCCGCCTGCACCGCCCTCTGGTGCACGACCTGCCGGAAGTTGGCGCTCCCCAGCGAGGGCCGCGCGTACACCGAGAACACCGTGCCGGGGCTCGGCACCAACGGCGTCTTTAGCGTGGGCGGCCGTGGCGCCAGCGTGCCGGCCCCGCCCCCTCCGCCACCGCTGGTCCCCGCGAACCTCAATCCCGCGGGGACCGGCGGATACTTCCCCGGCGTGTGCCCGTCAGCGGAGGGGTTAGGCCGGGCCGCCGTCGACGACGGTTCATCGGACGCTTTTGCGATGGACAGAGAAGCGCCCGTCTCCGGAGCGGTGATGGTGCCGGTCGTGGTGGCAACAGGAGACAGGGGCGAGCTTGCCACGTCACTCGGCACAGGGGTCACCTTCACGGCCAGCGGAATTTTCGAAGGCGGCGCCGACGCTCCGGCGTTCGCCAGCACCGCCGCACCGTTCGCGCCCGGCTTCTTCAGCGGCTCCTGCTCGGCATCCCGTGCGGGCCTGGTAGAGCCTGTCACGTAAATCAAGGTGGGCAGGCCGTTGCGAGACACCACGTTGCCCTGGGGCTGCGATGGCTGCGGCAGAGAGGATGCGGATTCGGTGGCCGGCAGTGGAGCGATGGGGATTTTGGATGGCTGTGGCAGAACAGAAATCACCTGGGATGGCTGCGATGGGGCTGTGGGAATCTTCGACGGTTGTGGCGAGACCGATGTGGCCTGGGACGTCTGCGACGGAGCGATGGGAATCTTAGAAGGGTGTGGCAGGACAGACGTGGCCACCTGAGAAGGTTGCGATGGGGCGGTGAAGATTTTGGAAGACTGTGCCAATTTGGACGTGGCCAGGGGAGGCAGTGGTGGGGCAGCAGGCACCGGTAGAGTGGGTGGTGGTATCGAAGGATGAGGAGGTGGAAAGGTGCCGGGCTTGAGCTCTGGTATTTTGGGGTGCGTGTAGGGAGTTGACGAGGATCGGTCAGGGTCGCTTGGAGATGGGGCGAGCTTCAGTTTTGACGGGACGACGGGTGGTATCTTGTCTCCCGCGTCTCTCCTGGAGCCTAGCTGTTTAGAGAGAGAAAAAATAACGAATGTACAAAAAGCACTGTGCGCTCAGGGACACGTTACAAAACAACTGTGACCACCGACTAACTTTTTATGCGTGCCATATCAACATCAACACTCACGGTCCTGAACAGACAGATTCCATTTTGTTAAATCACCACCACGGATTTAAATTACTGCTGCGGTAATGTCATCTCCTGGCACTCCCCCATTCCCACAATTATCATACCTGGTGTATGCTGGTGGTCACCCATCCAAGGAGTGCCACGGTGGAGAGATGTTAACTACCTCGCCTGGTATACAGGAGGTCGTGGGTTCGATCTCGACCCTGATACCTTTATATTTGGAGTTTGAACGTTCTGCCCGTGGTCGCATGGATTTTTGCTCCGGGTCCTACAGTTTTTCCCTCCACATTCATTAAAAATGAATACGCGTTTAGCGTATTTGGCTGCTATAAATTTCCACTTCTGAAAAATAGCTATATAGCTCAGTGGGCCCTACCTGGTCAAATACAAAACATCTTAGTTGAGTTTTAAGTCGGAGCACGATGAAAAAAATGTACGTTAAAACATGTATACACATATAAGAAATAAGTTTTACCCTTTATGGCAATTAAACAGGTGTTAGGATGTTAAAACACCAATCATAAACCTTTTGCAAGGAATCCTGTCTGCATTAACCACACGCTACTTGTGGTGAACATGCAAACAAAAAACACGCTTTGATAATGATAATGATGCATTGTCTTTGAAACTGATTGGTCCACACCAGAGACAGCTTTCTTTAGAGTTTAGTCTCAATGTGTCAGAACGCCAAAAGGCGAACAGCACAAAGACAATGCCACTGTCAGGGCATTTCTAGCTCGGGGTGAGCAGCTACAATATGGGACCTTTCTTGCCAGTATCAAAATATAAGAATAGGGTTTTTTACCCTTTCGGGCAATAAAACAAGTTGTGTTAAGATGTTAAAACGTGTTTTAAAAAAATTACACGTGTAAACAACCGCCAAACGTACGAGCGTTTCGTCCGCTCCGCCTCTGTGCGAAGTCGACGACGACGACGGAAGGGTGGGGAGCGAGTTCGTCGACCGTGCCCCGGGGTGCGTCAACGGCGGCGCCGTTACAGCCCCCCGCGCTTCCGCCGCCGAGCCGTTGACCTGCGCGCGTGCGGAGGTGGGGGAGGGGGGGGGGGGGCGAGAGTGTTTCCCCGCGGCGGTTTGGCCCACGACACTTTTCAATAATGCCTCGCGATAGCGGTCGTCCATGATGCAGGTTTTTTCGGGGGTTAGATCGCGTAAATATATAGAAGTGTCGTTAATCCCGCCACCACCCGACATCGTAAGGTTTGTCAAGTAAAACAGAACGTGCCGATTTGTGACTAGTTCAGCACACCGGTGTTGTACTAGACGCACGTTCTGCTCCTGATTCATCATCGGCTTGCTCTCCAACACACCGGCGTGCTGTACTTGTCATGAATTGGCACGTTCTGTTCACGTGACAAACCTTACTAATTGGCTGTATCGGGTGGTGAGGGGTCTAACGACACATTTAGTTGGTGCCTTTTTGACCGAGGAAGTGATAAGCCCATTTCCTCAAAAGTTGTTTGACAGCTTCATAGTACGGGCAAAGAGTGTCAATGTCGTTTATATACGTTGGGAATGCAGTGGTTGGGGTTGAAATTTGTAATTAATCTACACACGTCATGGACTCTGTCCAATCACGGACAGGTACTATCTAAAAAAACACGTGGCCAGCACAGCCTTGTTGCAGCTTGGCCCAGAGGGCACTGCATCGGCCTCTCTCAGGGCACCTCTCTACCAACGCACTCACTTTCACGCACTCAACCACTTTCACACACACACATGCGCGTGGGAATTTGCGTTTTAAGCCAATGTTTAAAAAAAAAATTCATGGAAGCTGGTTCATAAGTGCGTGTGTTCGCAAGTGCAGGTGTTTGTATGTCGAGGACTGCCCTGTACCGGTTATAACAGGTTAAAACCGGTCTACACCGATTTGATATAGAGGGAGAGAGAAAGTCTGGACGTGTGTTGCAAGCCATGCAGGACTGTAGTGGAGGCACGCAAGTACCGTTGGCAAGCACCTATTAAGGCCGGCACTACGCATGCAGGGGTATTTATTCACGGGGGGGGGGGGGGGCGGTGGGGGGGTAGTTCACACACTCCGTGGGGGGGCGGGCCCGAGCGCTGTGCCTCCTCCTTCTTGCTGCGCAGGCGCTCGCGCATGTCCTGCAGCTGGCGCTCCAGCGCGGCTAGCTCCTTCGTGCGCCGGCCCAGCAGCTCCGTCTGCTCCTGCAGACGCACGTTCTGCTCCTGGTTCATCGTCGTCTTGCTCTGTGTGGGGATGATGGACGGGGTGGGGAGTGGGGGGGGGAGGTGTGTTACCTTTGTACACGTACATACCTATACATGCAGGTTAGGGCAGATGCAGAAGTTCACTTTCCGGCCAGTGGGATGCATCGCACAGAAGAAATGTAAGATGGCACGGGTGGCACAGATAGCTCGACTCGACCGAGACAACGTTGAAAGAGCTTTCAAACGGAGTTGATTTTAGAACCGAATTGCAACCCTGAATCTCGAGCAGGTGTTGAGTCACAAGGTGGAGGGAGTAAATTGGATAAATGGAATTGGCGATCGGCACTTCCGCCACAATGCGGTCCGTAGCTTGTAACGGATATTACAGGATATAGGATATGTTAAGTAGCATACGGGGTGTAGTGATTGCAATGTAATACGAGTCGCTATGTAGTACGAACGTGTAATCTCTCGCCAATTGCGTGGTTTACGTTCCTGAAAACCGCCGTGGCTGGCAAAACCGCGGGAAACAGGGGGTTAAGCGGCTACCAGAGCCGTGGTCGCACCCGTCAAAGCGTAACGATGTTGCCTGTTCCTTCACTAAACACTAAACAAATAAAATACACTAACATAATAAAAACAATAAACTAAACTAAATCATTTTATTTTACCAGGTGAGGCCCAACTGAGCTATCTAGCTCTTTTTCAGAAGCAACCGGGCTATCACAGTTGATAGCCAAATGAAGTGGCTTATCACGTACAAATGTATAGGAGCAGCCAAATACGTTTGTAAACGTGGGGGTGTGGGGGGGGGGAGAGAAACCGGAGGACCCGGAGAAAAATCTACGCGACAAATGCAATAAAACAAAGAAACCAAATGCAATAAAAAAACAACAAGTCCTTAATTTAAACGTCGGCCACTTCTTTTGGGAGGAGGTAAGAAGGATGACGACGACGACGACGAACCGTAGAAGTGTTTAACCAACGTCGCTCTCGGCGCGGACTTCTTTTGTCGGTCCGGGCGCCGCCCACGCTCACCTGCAGGTCGAGGTACAGGCGCTGCAGCTCTTGTTCCACGGGGGAGGCAGCGGAGGAGGAGGGGGGGCGGTCGTCACGGAAACCGTCCCCGGTGCCGTCGCCACGGAGACCCTCCAACTGGCGACTGAGCTCCGTGACGGTCGCCATGGCAACTTCCAGCTCCCTCCGCTTCTCCTGGAAGCTGGCGGTCGCTCTCTCGATCTCCAGCGCTGGGGAAGAAATAAATTATCACCACATTCTCCTGATTATGAGACGCACACACTTGTTATCCCCCTAGTTTAAAGCAGAGGTTGGCGGGTGCGTCTTATGATATGATACGTGTGTGTTAGTGTGTGTGGGGACCTGTAGTATAGCGGTTATCGCGCTGCGCTACGAACCTGGCGACCCGAGTTCGATTCCCGCTCACGGCTAACATCAGTGACGATTATCTGAACTGGTCCTGGGCCTCCTCTAGGTCGACTCAGCTTCAAATGAGTACCTGGTGAGGTACGTAAACAGCGCCTTTGGGAGAAAAAGGTGGCCGGGCGTGGTGCTGGCCACTCACCTCCTCGTGTGCTGTGCCGGCCTTCATAGGTGCTGGCTAACAGCACTTGCCCCAACAGTCTGTTCAGGTTATATGGGGAATCTTTGTCTTTGGGGCTCCATCTCAGCCAGCCATCTCAGTCAACCCATGGCACCTGGGTCTGTCCCGTGACCTTCTGCCAGCGGGCATTCGACACTTCACATGGCCTTAATGTGCACATAGCCTGGCACAAGCGCCGTGGTTACATCACCGCCACTTAGTGGTGAATGGCGGTTGTTGTTCTTGGGGGGGGGGGCTCCAGATTTGTATAAATGTATTGACACCAGGCACAAGTTTGTGGGTGGGCATCTTTCCAGAGTGTCTTACAATCTGGAGAATGCGGAATATATTTGTTGAATGTATTTGTTTTCAAATGTTTTTGTTTACAAATGTGTTATTGACTTCAAGTCAAGAGGAAAAGTGTCCGTTCAAAATTCCCACAGAACAGTGCCGTCACCCCTGTTTGTGTTAGAAAACAGCCCGCTGAAGGAGGCATTAGAGAACTACTTCTGCAATCCCTTCAAGTGATCTCTTCACTACTCGCCCCACTGCAGATACATAATCGCCACGTGGAATCAAAGGGAATGTTTCTTTGCTTCTTGGAGCTAGAACTATTCCACTTTTACAGTGAAAAGTCGCCATTTTTTCCACTGCAGATTTTGTTGTTGTGCAGTCATTGGTGGGCAGGGCTTGCCTGCATCAGCTCGTACATTTTTGCGAACCGATTTTTATTTTGGATGGTTGAAATCTGGACTAGGACCCAGGATTTCAGTGGCACCGCAGCTCAATCTTGTCAACCCTGAGCCATCCGGCCACTTTATAGTAAATTTAAACAAATTATCAGTGGTCATATTATTATTATTCCTACTCATTGCACGGGGAGAGAGAGACACGCAAACTCCAAATATACAGCAGGTGTCAGGGTTGGGCTCGAACCCACGACCTCCTGTACACCCGGCGAAGTAGTTAACATCTCGTCACTGTGGCCTATGTGTGTACATATGTATGTCGAACGTCTTTTGCACCGTACGTAGCCAAGCGTGCCGATCGGAGGCGGCTACAAAAAAAAAAGACACCATCGATAAAACCGCTGTCGCCGCTGCCGCGGTAGCTCACCGAGGTCCTCGTTGGCGCGCCGCTTGGCGTGGAGCTCGGCACGCGTGGAGCGGAGCCGCCCGGCGCGCTCCTCCTGGGCGGCGAGCGTCTCCCGCAGCGCTCGCAGCCGCTCGGCGCCGGCCTCCGCCTCCTCGCGCCGCCGCCGCCGCCGCTCCTTCTGCTTCAGCTGCTGCAGCCGCCGCTCCTGCGCAGAGAGCCGCTCGCCGAGTCACGGAGGAGGCGGGATTGTTATCTCCCTCGCCTGGTACGCGGGAGGTCGCGGGTTCGATCCCGACCCCGACGCCTGCTGCTGTATATTTGGAGTTTGCGGTGTCTCTCTCTCTCTCCCCGTTGTCGCGTGGATTTTTCTCCGGGTCCTCCGGTTTTTGCCTCCACATTTAGAATCAACGTGCATTTTAGAGTATTTTGCCGCGATAAATTTCCACATGATAAGCCACTGCATTTGGCTATCACGTGGCTAGGTCGCTTCAGAAAAAGAGCAATATAGCTCAGTGGGGCCTTACCTGGTAAAATAAAATAGTTTAGTTGAGAGTTATTGTTTTTTATTATGTCAGTGTATTTTATTTCTGTTTAGTGAAGGAACAGGCAACATAGGTTTTGACGAGTGTAACCACTGCTCTGGTTGCCCTAACCCCCTATTTCCCATAAGGCCTTAGTACTGCCAACCGCGGTTTGACCAATCACGGCGGTTTTTCCGTAACGTAACCTCCGTGGATGGCGATGGATAACAAGTTGTACTACATCGCGTTCGCTACACCCTGTATGCTACTTAACATACCCTGTAATATTCGTGACAAGGTACAGACCGTATTGCGGCAGGGCGCCTCTCGCCAATGCCGGCCGCGTGCTACCGATGCTGCTCGAGCTGCGAGTCTCGGCTCTGAGCTGGTCGCCGCTCATCATCACGCCTCAGGTGAGGTTGCCACCGCCCTCACCTTGCTGGCCAGCAGCTGCTGACGAGCCTCGATCTGCTGCTGCTGTCTCTCGGCGACCTCCTGCAGCTCCGACAGCGAGAGCTCAACACCTGAGCCGCCCACCTGCACGGGAGTGGGGTGGGGGGTCGTCAGGGTCACAAGGGGTCCCCAGATGTCAGGATTTGCTTTTGTAATCTATACTGGCGCTTGCTTAAACGATACCCCGGCAACGCAAGAGCGCCTTCCAACACATTTCATTTCAAGCGTTCCGATGCCCTGTCGGTATGCATGTTGAATTTATTTCGCACCATACATAGCCAACCGTGCCGTCGTCTAGCCAAGGGGACCCCCCCCGGTGGCAGCTGTCCCTGTGTGGTGCAAGGTTGAACGCGCAGCACCGGCCTGCAAGTAAGGCATCAGTCTGGCCACGAGGGAGGTGATTGCTGCCACGTGGCTTTACAAAGTAAACATTTTTTCCCAAGCGACTAATCGACTTTCGACTGTGATGCCGGCACACATGGCCTACCCCCTCTGTTGAATCACGTCACGAGATCTTTAACGTCCACTCGAGGTACAGGAGCCCAGGCCCCTGTAGCTCGAGTGGAAGAGCAGGAGCGTGTAAGAGCAGGCCCAAATACCAGCTAGAGGCACTCTCTGTAGAGCTCCGTCGAGTGGGAGCCCTCACGGCAGTGGTGACATGAGCAAGACACTGCAGGGCTGCAACCTTTAGCCCATTAGTAACAAGAAGGACCGAACACCCGAAAACGATTTAGTTGCCATCCGTAACCAAGCGACGGCGGTGTTGTCATCGTCGTCGTCGTCATCATCATCGAACGTGACAACCGGTGAACGCTTTCGCGACCTGCAGGAGAACCCGCGCTCGTCCTGTCCACCTGCGGGGGGCAGCCCCCCCCGCCGCCCTCTGCTGCTCCATCCTCGGCCGGTAAACGAGGCGGCGGTGCGGGCGGCCGAGCGCCGCGGGCCCCCCGCCGATCATCGCCGCCGGCCGCCACCGTAGCCACGAGGCCTCCCCCGGCATTTCGACCGCCGACCCTCAGCTCCCGTCGGCAGAAGCGGCGGCAAAAGTTGAGATCTCGTCGCCGTCGCGTCCAGAAAAGTCGTGCCGGCCGGCCGGCCCGTCACCCGCCATGCGACATGGAAGCAACTCGAGCGTTTAAGCTCCGAAGCGAATTGAAAGTGAAAAGAATCCTCTGCTGCATCCAAGCAGCATCCGCTCAGTCGGCAGATATAACAAAAAAAAAAATCCACCGTCTCGCGGCCGAAAGAGATCTCAAAAAGAGCCCCAACGAGGAACGGGCTGAGGAATTCCAGTGCAAGGGGGGAGCGGAGTGCACGGAGGTTGGCAAACGACGACCGCGCCTGAGCGAAACGACCAAACGAGCTGGCTCCAGGGCGAGCGGCGGAGAATTTATATAAATTTCGACAGCGCGCGAGCACGTGGGAGATGCCTCGTTGGCTAGGGAGTCGGTGATTAAAATATCTTCTGCCGAGGATGAGCGGGAAGCTGGGGGAGGCAAAGGGAGCGGTTATGAGGCCGGCGCCCGGTATTCAAGGAGGCTGTGAGTGGCGTCGCGAAATTAAAACCCACCGGGGAGGAGGACTGGCCAGGCGGCCCAGAGGTCCGGGCACTGAGCGGCCACCGCCGAGGTGCTGGGTTTGAATCCGGGATTCAGCCACACCCGCGATTAAACCGAATTCTCAAGCGTAGCGAGCTGACGATCTCAGCGCAGTCACGGATGACAGCACGAAAAATAAGTGAACACCTTAAACTTTCGCGGGCTGCCCTAAAATCGGGCTAAATTCCAGCTCCGCAAATCGAAAATATCGATGTGACTGCAGTTCCGTTGTGCATCGCTCTCATATGCAGAGCGGGTAGAAAAAAGTGTGCTGCCCTCTACTGTATGGGTCAGAGGTCACGAAGGGGCTCCCCCGCTGCTGCTCTTGCGAGATTTCGGAATCGGGGCTTTCATCTCATAACGGGGAGGTCGATGGGACAATCGGGATGAAAATTGGGCAAAAATTACAACAACAACAACAAAAAGCTCACCGGAGGGAAACAAGGGTGACTCTGAGAGGTGACCTGTTCTTTGAAAAAGTTTCAAGTGGTTGCATATCGTCCACCGGCCGGGCCAGCTCAGGGCACGCCCGTTGGCCCTGCCAGCTGTACCATCGTGAACACTCAGTCTGTTTAATGGGGATGTTCCCTTTTTTAAGGTCACGACTTGAATTTTTATGCATCTCCGGTTTGGGCCAGTGTATTACCCTTTATTATTAATAATAATAATACAATGAAAGAGACTTTACTGCCAACAAAAAGCCCCTTGTTGCTGCAGAATGCAAAACTTTGTGACATGACAACAGCAACCTAAAAAAAATAATTAAACAATCGGGGAAATATTTTTTAATGAGAGTCTCACCCCATTTTCCATCCTGTCCGTCGTGCTGGGCAAGTTCACGCCGTTGAGGCGGCTCTCTTGATCTGAGGAGGCGAATAAAAAGGAGGTTAAGAGGAGGGGGAGGGGTGTGTGGGAGGAAACGGGGAAAGTGACAAAAGCGCAGGGCATCGCTCTCCCGGTCGCGGGGCGTTGCCAAAGCGCGGCTCGCTCTGGCCCAAGCCAACGGCTCCCTGCTGCCAGCGTTGCCCCGCATCTTTCATTGTAGAACGCCGAAGCGCAAATTGGAACTGAAGTGTGCAAGCAAGCGCGAGTGTACAAAAGCGTAATTTGCTCGGGCTAGTGTGCGGCAGGCGCTTAAGCACGGTGGGCAACGTATGGTGTGAAAGAAGTTTGACGCGCGTGCATGCAAAGGCGCCGGAGCACGTCGCTTTTAGCGTCCGTGCACAACTTTAGTCGTGCCCGTTACCTATTTGCTTGTTTCAATTTTCACCACCGCTACAGAGGTACAAAAACCCCGCGGTGACCGGCACTTCTGAGCATTAACCATCGTGACCCCACCCCCCCCCAGCTGTGATGTTGTGGCAACGATAGATGGGGGAGAGGGCGAGAGAGAGGGAGATGAAAAGTGGAGAAGGAGAGGGGAGAGAAAGAAGGGAGGGGAAGGAAGAGAGCGGGAGAGGAAGAGCGACAGGGAGCAAAAACCCGATCGGGGTGTAGGGCGCACGTTAACGCAGCCTGCAAGCTCATTGTCGCCAAAGGCACGCTGTGACCTTTAACCCTAGATGTACACCAAGCAACACCTCCCATTGGCTTCCCCCCCTCCTTTCGTATGGGAGGGTAGTTGTTGGACTGCCGAGAGCACACATTCTTCAAATTCAATTTAAAGTTCGATCGATCACTCGTTTTCCACTGCTATCCTCACAGACCAGGTATTTCTCGATGACTCTTTGTCACACGTGTCCAAAACCACAGGTCATAGGCAAGTTCTGTGCACCGATCGACAGCTTTCTCCTTCAGAAGGAAAGACAGGCGCTTGCTTTGGAGTTATGCCCAGAGGCTGGAAGGGGAACACTCAGATCAGAGGTATTAGGAGAATTAGAAACGTCGCGTTGACTGTACAGGGAAGGATACGTCGCTAGGTAGGGATGACGGGTCGATGATGGAGGATTACTCGAACTTGAACTTCTTTCGCACCGTACGTAGCCAACTATTGCTAATCGGAGGGCGACAGAGTGGCAGCCCAAAATAATGAGAATATTTATCTATACTGCAGAAGGAATCCGATGAGCTATGAAGCTCTTTTTTTTACACATGTCCAGTAGGGGCGGGTCAGAAAGTTACAACAAACAGTACAACAACACAATAGGAGTGCAAAGTATAGGAAAGGTAAGAAAATCACAAAAAATAAAACTAAACTATTTTTTTTGTTTGCCAGGTAGAGCCCACCGAGCTACATATTAACGTATTATTCAGAAGCGAGCTGGCCACAAATGATGGCTCAACGAAGTGGCTTATCATCCTGTGGAAATTTACAGCAGCCACATCTAAATTCTACAAAAGGATGACGGCCCATGCAGGTGGAGCAATGAGATCCGTCTCGTGGGCAGGGACGTGACGGATCACGGAGATGGAGCAATGAGATCGTCTCGTGTGCAGGGAATGACGACCCAATTGCATTGTGGGACCGTGGGAGATGCTGGCCACTTGTGGAGGGGCGCCTTCATCCACAGCAGCGGCGGGTGCACAGAACGACCTTTTGACCCTTATCAACCACGCTGCCTTATGCTCTGCGGGAGGGTTGGTGCGTGAAATGAGCTTTTAAAAAATAAATTACTCACTATGCAGTGCGTCTGTCAAATGCGGCAAGATATTTAGTTGAAAAAAAATAGAAAAATATATTTAAACGGCATACGTGTCCGAATCCCACGGGTGCTCAAGAATGACCGAAAGCTTTTGGGGATTTTTTTTGTTGCTCTTTGATTTTGCGTTGAGCCTCGCGGGCGCGGATCGTGACGCGTTGGGCCGGTCGCCAGCTGTGGGAGGATCGATGGCGGTGGTGACAGTGGTGACGGGGTCAGGCGGGCAAGCATGCAGGGGGAGGGCAGCAGTTGCCTCTCGCAGCTGAACGTTCTCCGACGCACGTTGGATCTCTTCCATTGCTTCCGCGCACACTTTTCATATTTTGCTCCATTTTCTTGGTCAATTGCTGTCTGTGTTTTAGCACCCTGTTGTCGTTGAGTCGCATTTAAAAAAACACTAAGAAACTATTTTATTTACCGAGTAAATATGTACGCGCGTTTAACTTCTCTCACGGCGTACCGTAGCCAACCGTGCTAATCGGAGGAGCGGCGGGGGAAGGACGACAAACGAAGCACAAGAAAAAGGGAAGTGTGAGGTTGAGGCAACGCAAATTAAGTCGTGGTGTTCATAGTAAAACGCACGACACATTTGCGAAACGACGTAAAAGGGGGGAAAAGTGAAATCGTGGGGGTGTGACTTCATCACTTTTCTGTGGCGAGTCGACCGGAAGCGTACGGTACGCCGCGGTTAATTTGCGTTGCCCGAGGTCTCGGCGGCTACCTGCGTCCCAGGTGGGTGAGCTGGGAGGGTCGTCCCCGTCGTAGCGTAGGTAGAATTTGACGTCCGCCACCTCCTTACCCCAGTGCTGCAGCAGCGCGTACATCTTCTCCCCGTCCGCCACCACGCGCTCTGCGAATGGCGAGCGCAAACGGCCGTCACCCTGGGGTGACCCCGCTACGGTGGTCCAAGGCGGGAGTGGGGGCGGGGGGGGGCACCTGGGGGGGCGATCACCCCTCCTCTCGACCCCTCTCCCTAACCTCCCCGCCACCCCCAAGACCCCAACATTATTGATATTCACGGGAGAAAAGAGCTTGATTTGTTTTTTTTTTGCAGGGACTTGACATTTTGAGATTGCCCCGCACATGCCCCCCCCCGCCACCCCCCAACCCGAACTTGCGATGTTTCTAGATCTACCTCTGTTGCCACCTGTCCTGCTTTTCCCAGGATCATCCTGCTGATAAGTCTTTCCGGGACATTTAAAGTCCCCGTTTGGCCAGTTGCGTAGTAATGGTGATAATAATAATAATAGCAACACGACAACACTCAAGACGAGGCTTTTAGGTTTAAGGGGGTCTCCCCTCTTGAGGTATTGAGAGACATTGCTCTTCCCATTCCACCTGTCGGTTTTTTGTCCTTTTTTAGAGGTCACGGAGCGTTAGCGGAGGTCAAAGGTCGCCTTGAGTGGGGGGTGCCATACCGCGCGACGTTTAGCGACCTTCACATGGTGTGTGTGTGTGTCCGCATTCATAGTGTGTTGATAGCAGGGGGTGGGTGATAGTTCAGCGGTCAGCGTGCTGCGCTACGAATCCGGCAACCCGAGTTTCTTTCCCGCTCACAACCAACACCGGTGACGATCATCCGAGCCGGTCCCGAGCCTAGCCGAGATCGACTCGGCCTCAAACGAGTGGCTGGTGTGGTGTGTTAACATCGCCACCTGGGAGACAAAGGTGGCTGGGCATGGTGCTGGCCATCCACCCCCTCGTGTGCCACAGTGCTGGCCTTCATGGTTGCTCGCTAACAGCACTTGCCCCAACAGTCTGTTCAAGGCTATACGGGGGATCTCTATCTGCCTTTTTGATAGTGTGGACCTAAGTAAGGTGCAAACCGTGAACTTCTATATACAGGCACACGGACATTAGGAGAGAATTTTCCTTTGTTTATCATAACACATTATCGTTAAATATGAAATGAGCAATGATGATCAGGATGTCACAACACATCGTAAGGTGCAGAAGGCTATGATCGTGGATCTCTCATCGTGCGGTCCCACCCAAGTATCGCAACCCGAAGCGGCGCTTACCGTATCCACGCCAGAGCTCGGTGAGGGTGTAACCGTGGCGACTGGCGCCGCGGCAACGCTCCAGCACATCTTGGCACGTTGTCTCCGTGGCGACGGGCACCGTAGTGAGCCGGCGCTCGTCGCGGCTCAGGAAGATGGTGAGCATCATCTGCGAGAGACACGTTCACCATCTCGGCAACGTGTACAAGGGACACATTCACTCGGCGAGATCTGCGAGAGACACGTTGACCATCTCGGCAACGTCTACAAGGGACACATTCACTCGGTAAGATCTGCGAGAGACACGTTCACCATCTCAGCAACGTCTACAAGGGACACATTCACTCGGTAAGATCTGCGAGAGACACGTTGACCATCTCGGCAACGTCTACAAGGGACACATTCACTCGGCAAGATCTGCAAGAGACACGTTCACCATCTCGGCAACGTCTACAAGGGACACATTCACTCGGCGAGATCTGCAAGAGACACGTTTACCATCTCGGCAACGTCTACAAGGGACACATTCACTCGGCGAGATCTGCAAGAGACACGTTCACCATCTCCGCAACGTCTACAAGGGACACATTCACTCGGTAAGATCTGCAAGAGATACGTTCACCATCTCGGCAACGTCTACAAGGGACACATTCACTCGGCAAGATCTGAAAGAGACACGTTCACCATCTCGACAACGTCTACAAGGGACACATTCACTCAGCGAGATCTGCGAGAGACACGTTGACCATCTCGGCAATGTGTACAAGGGACACATTCACTCGGCAAGATCTGCGAGAGACACGTTGACCATCTCGGCAACGTCTACAAGGGACACATTCACTCGGCAAGATCTGCGAGAGACACGTTGACCATCTCGGCAACGTCTACAAGGGACACATTCACTCGGTAAGATCTGCAAGAGATACGTTCACCATCTCGGCAACGTCTACAAGGGACACATTCACTCGGCAAGATCTGCGAGAGACACGTTCACCATCTCCGCAACGTCTACAAGGGACACATTCACTCGGCAAGATCTGCAAGAGACACGTTCACCATCTCCGCAACGTCTACAAGGGACACATTCACTCGGTAAGATCTGCAAGAGATACCTTCACCATCTCGGCAACGTCTACAAGGGACACATTCACTCGGCGAGATCTGCGAGAGACACGTTGACCATCTCGGCAATGTGTACAAGGGACACATTCACTCGGCAAGATCTGCAAGAGACACGTTCACCATCTCCGCAACGTCTACAAGGGACACATTCACTCGGTAAGATCTGCAAGAGATACGTTCACCATCTCGGCAACGTCTACAAGGGACACATTCACTCGGGAAGATCTGCAAGAGACACGTTCACCATCTCGGCAACATCTACAAGGGACACATTCACTCGGCGAGATCTGCAAGAGACACGTGCACCATCTCGGCAATGTCTACAAGGAACACATTCACTCGGCAAGATCTGCGAGAGACACGTTGACCATCTCCGCAACGTCTACAGGAGACACATCTACAAGAGACACGTTCACTCGGCATCGCTAGTGAGAGAAAAACCGAGAGAGAAATGTTGTGAACTGCAGTGTGGTGAGTGAGTGAGTGGGTGAGTGTGTTGATGAGTGAGTATATGAATGAGTTAGTGGGTCAGTGAGTCAGAGAATGAGTATTGTTTTTACCTGCAGCGTGGAGAGTGAGTGAGTAAATGAATGAGTGAATGAGTGGGTGAGCGGCTGAGCGGGAGAGTTGAGTGAGTGGGAGAGTGAATGTGTTGTTACCTGCAGTGTGGAGAGTGAGTGAATGAGTGGCTGAGTGAGTGTGCACATGAGTTCGTGGCTGAGTGAGTGGGTGAGTGAATGAGTGTGAGAGTGAATGTGTTGTTACCTGCAGTGTGGTGAGTGAGTGAATGAGTGGATGAGTGACTGAGTGGGTGAGTGAATGTGTGAGAGTGAGTGTGTTGGTTGTGACTTGCAGGGTGGTGGTCAAACACCATGTGGATGAGAGCAGATAGTCTTGTGGCACGGATCCTCAACACGGGTGAAGAATGAACCAACAGCTCTGGATCTACTTACACGTGGATATTTAGAGGGCCCGCATTGACGTGGATGGATGTTACTCCGGTTATAAATCACAAACAGTAAGACACGGATAAGTGAAAAAAAAAATGCTTGCTTCAACCAACCACTTGATTCCTTGCAAAAGGTATCTATTTGGTGTTTGAAGATCTTAACGCCTGTTTTATTATTGCTAGAAAGGGGAACACCTTATTTATTCATACTTTGAAACTGGCAAAAAAAGGGTCCCATGATACCACTGCTCAACCCGAGCTATAAACGCTCTGAAACGCGTGGCATTGTCTCTGCGCTGTTCGCCTTTTGGCGTTCTCTGGTCTGACATTGGTGATACAAGGCCATGGAGAAGGACGATCCTTGTCTCTGGTGTAGGCCAATCAATCTCAAAGACAATGCCAACAATATATTACCAGGGCGTGTTTGTTTGCATGGTCACCCACAGGTACCCGTGTGTGATCAATGCAGTACTTGATTCCTTGCAACAGGTATCTATTTGGCATTTGAATATCCTAACATATTTCGATTTTAAGCTTTCGTGACTGCAAGGATTCATCTTCTTTGGTTCTTTCGGTAAAGTCACGTAGAATGAGAATAAAATAATAAATTGATAAAATTAAATAACACAATAATATTCTCACGACGTTTCGGCCACAACACAAGCGGCCTTCATCAGGTGAAGGAACGAGACTGTCTGGAGGACAGCGCTGGAGTGAAAAAGCCACGCTCAGATCACGACCTTTAAGCTTAAAGGTCGTGATCTTAAAGGTCGTGATCTGAGCGTGGCTTTTTTACTCCAGCGCTGTCCTCCAGACAGTCTCGTTCCTTCACCTGATGAAGGCCGCGTGTGTTGTGGCCGAAACGTCGTGAGAATATTATTGTGTTATTTTATTTTATCAATTTATTATTGTATTCTCATTCTACGTGACTTTACCGAAAGAACCAAAGAAGATGAATCCTAACATGTTTTATTGCCAAAAAGGGGTAAAACCTAGGGCGTGTCGCCCGTTGTATTTATACTCGCGGGCACACTGTGTTTATTAATAAAGTCAACATTAACTTTGCTCCAGTGAGCAACCCCCACGTTTCTGAGAGTGCAGTGCAACTTACAGAGCCTGCCCAACCAGTCAACGTCGCGCGTATAGAATGTATTTAATATTTCGCGACTTGCTTGGCTTTCCGATTGCTTGGCCCACGTGTCACGTTGTTTTGTATTTTGTTTGCCAGTTGCCACTTTGTGACTCCCCGGCGGCCCCCCTTTACTGGACCATCTGTGTGTGAACAACAACAAAAAATCAAAGAGCGCTTCATCGCGTGCCGTCGATGTCGCCCGAGAATTTTGACGAGCTGGCTGTACTTGGGGTGTCAAGGAAAACAGTTATCCCCCGCAGTTGGTTCGCGTCATTGTCCCATAGCGTGTCAATAATAATAATTTACATGCATTTGTAAGGCACCTTCCACTAATGTATCAAGGCGCCTCGTAAGAATACGGACAAAGGAAAGGGCCAAGAGAGACCGATAAGCGAAGTAGAATAAAGCGAGTTAAGACGCTGGTGGCTTTAAGACGAGACTTTAAAGCATCCACATTATAATCGGATAAACAATAGTGCATAACGAATCGAGGCGTCATTTATCGATTCCAAATCTCGTTAAGATTCACCGCATTCCGGACAGAGTTGGCGGTCCTCTCTATCGCCGTTAAAGCAACGTTGAACAAAATCCGCCCTTGGTGTCCTACACAAAAAATATTGAGGGGATTGCTTGGCACAGAAAATGGATCTAAACTCCTCTCACTCATCCCATATACAAACAAAAAAAGTTAGCAACACTCGCACACGCCTCACCGGATTCCTCCTCCAGTCTACGTAACATGCATTGGTTTATTTCCTGTTCATATTTAGCAGTGACCAGCTCACCATTTTCTCTACTTTGCACTCCTATCGTGTTTTCGTTTATTATTTGCCGCTGGAACTCTCCGACCCCCACGCCCCCCCCCCCCTCCCCCTCCTTACTGGACCATCTGCAAGAAGAAGAAAACAAATCTTCATAGCCCATCGGATTCCTCCTCCAGTCTAAATAAAGGGGTCCGATTCTGTACCCGAACCGTCGAACCTCGTGCACACTGCCGGGGATTTAAAGACGCCGCCCCCTCTGCTTCAGAGCAGAGGCATTGAGCAATTAAGCTCACGACCCAAGAAGGAATTACAGAAATGTTTATGCGAAAACACCACCGTAATGCGTAAACCTCCGCGCAAGGTAGCGGTAGCTGCTTGAATACAACTTCCACGGAACGGGAAGAGATCAGCCAAAGGATGAATCAATTACGCGGTTTTTTTTTGTACAGATAATTATTGGAGCACTTTACAGCGACGCCTTGCTACACGTACACCCAGTAACTTGAGTCCAACCGACGTAGGCCCAACGTTGGCATGCTTACTGGGCAGCCGTTTGTCAATCCGCTGCTGGATGAGGGCATTCCCTCACGCCTGTGCGTGTCACGGGGGTTGTGTGACCATACTTTCACCACGCTGGTCATCTCCGGGCTGACGAAGTAGGAAGCCCAACATCGGTTCGGATATCTATCGCTCGCCACTCACCGTTAGCCGTGGCTGGGAGTCGAACACAGGTAACCGGGTTCATAGTGCAGTGCTTACCATTGCACCACGATTCCACATTTATGAACACATTGATTGAGTCAGGATGCAACGAGCCCTCGGTTAAAGTTGATTCTTATGGTCATGATACGATAATAACAAGCGCAACTGCTGCCCGGATTACAAGTCGCAGTACAGTATTGCAATCCCATTAATATCTCAATGTTCACTCCCAATGGACATCTGTGAAAAATAGCTCACCGGATTCCTCCAGTCTAAATAAAGATTCTGACTGAAATAAATTCAGGGTGCTTAAAAAAAAATTGCTAACACTTATATGGGGCAATCGTTTTTTTTTTATGGAAATAGAATTGGTTAATATTCTGTAACATGATAACAAATGTAACGTTGATTGTTTCAAAAAGTAAGAGTATCCAGTTGCTCACCATCGTTGTCAACGCGTGCCTGGAATCTTCTCCGGGTGATCTCCAGAGCCCCAAGGCAGCACATGTCACGTGGTGTTGTTGCAATTTCTCCGAAGTGTTAACATTTTATTGAAGCAACCCTGTATTGTCTTGCTTACACCACAGTAAACACTTCAGTACACATTTTTAAATCGCAACAGGACAAAAGCCTCGGCTCACCTCAGTGTTTGGCGGGAAACGTCACAAGTCGCTTCAAACGAGCTGCTCAAACCCCCCCCCCCCACCACCCCCACTCAGAATGACAACAACAAAACGCTTTCCGCTCTCGAACGGACGATCACGCTTCAAGGGACAGCGGCTTAGGGGTGGTCGACCCCGATTCCCAGTCGCGGCGGGGGTCAACAACGGAGGCCTCTCCTGCACCGACACGATCTCGGCACGCCGAGTTGCGTTGCCCTCCTGCGCCCGCCCGGGCCGACGGACACCGCTGGCGGTAGAGGCGCCGGTTTCAATAACGGTCGTCGTGCCGGGCAATTCGGCGCGCCAGAGAGAGAGAGAGAGCGCGAGAACAAATCCTCCTCGACAGTCGCGCTGCGCGCAACAAGCGCTTAATTGTTACTATTTCCAGCGTGGGTGGATCGCCAGTGATTCACTCTATTACGCCCCCCCCCCCCCGGGCACCGCCACTGGGACAGATCCGGTAGGTTGTGGAACTGGGATCCAGCAGGTTGTATAACTCGGATCCGGTAAGTTGTGGAACTGGGATCCAGCAGGTTGTATAACTCGGATCCGGTAAGTTGTGGAACTGGGATCCAGCAGGTTGTATAACTCGGATCCGGTAGGTTGTGGAACTGGGATCCAGCAGGTTGTATAACTCGGATCCGGTAAGTTGTGGAACTGGGATCCAGCAGGTTGTATAACTCGGATCCGGTAGGTTGTGGAACTGGGATCCAGCAGGTTGTATAACTCGGATCCGGTAGGTTGTGGAACTGGGATCCAGCAGGTTGTATAACTCGGATCCGGTAAGTTGTGGAACTGGGATCCAGCAGGTTGTATAACTCGGATCCGGTAAGTTGTGGAACTGGGATCCAGCAGGTTGTATAACTCGGATCCGGTAAGTTGTGGAACTGGGATCCAGCAGGTTGTATAACTCGGATCCGGTAAGTTGTGGAACTGGGATCCAGCAGGTTGTATAACTCGGATCCGGTAAGTTGTGGAACTGGGATCCAGCAGGTTGTATAACTCGGATCCGGTAAGTTGTGGACTGGGATCCAGCAGGTTGTATAACTCGGATCCGGTAAGTTGTGGAACTGGGGTCCAGCAGGTTGTATAACTCGGATCCGGTAAGTTGTGGAACTGGGATCCAGCAGGTTGTATAACTCGGATCCGGTAAGTTGTGGACTGGGATCCAGCAGGTTGTATAACTCGGATCCGGTAAGTTGTGGACTGGGATCCAGCAGGTTGTATAACTCGGATCCGGTAAGTTGTGGAACTGGGATCCAGCAGGTTGTATAACTCGGATCCGGTAAGTTGTGGACTGGGATCCAGCAGGTTGTATAACTCGGATCCGGTAAGTTGTGGAACTGGGATCACGATGCGTGGGGATAAACCGCAGCACGCTTGTCGCCAGGGGTCTGCGACGCGCGCGTCAAAACCGCACGGGTAAAGAAACGATGACTTCCGATTCCTCGCGAGAAAGGATGATACGTCTGGCGGTCGAGACTAACGACGGAGCGGCAGCCGAGGTTGGGGGAACGCGGGCCCGGCAGGGTATCCGTCGCGCGCGTATCAGAAGCGATGAGATTTGCCGGCGCGTTGATTGTTGCTTCGCGAGAGACGGCAACCGGCTTGGGGAGGGCCTTCATCCAGAAGCAGATAGATCACGGCTGATTGCTGTTGAAGATGATGACGAGGTCAACGATGACGATTCACAACGCGCGGTGTCAGGACAACCGAGCTTACGGGTGACTCACAATGTGTAGCATTGAAAACGAATTTCTTTAGAAGTGCTTTTTGTGTTTAGTTTTTTTGTCGTTCCCCCGCACCGTCCCCCAAACCCCCCCCCCGCCCCCCAAAGGCAGACAATGTGGTGACACTGAACGAGCCAATGATGATCAGCCCCGGGGCAATTGCTATTGAGCTGCATTGAGTTTTGTGGGGGACATTGGGTCCGCACCAAAGTCGGCATGCCAGCAGAGGATTTTCAATGCCTGCAGGGCAGGCACGGTCACATTCTAATCGATGGCTCGGCCTAAATGTGTCAACCATCAACTGTATTGGCCCTTAAAAGGACTCCATGTCCTCCCGTGTACCTGTACAGCTCTTGTGTCAACATCCACCGTCCTTTGCCTCCCATGGATTGTGACACCGAAGCCGGGTGGAGCCAGATCAATTGTGACTCAAATAAAAAGTCTAAGTGATTTCCCGCTCACAAAGAAGCATTGTGGTGGTGCTCATCTGTTTTGAGCCAGTGGTGGAAATTCCGCATTCCTATGGCGTGTGGCAGTCTGTCCACAGCGCAACTGCTGTTTGACTTTACTGCAAGCTGGTACTCATTTTATGGGACCCCAAAAGGATGATGGGGTGAGTCAAACATCCAAATCTGATTTGAACTTGCAACCTTCTGCCTGAGCCACCTGGCTGGATCATAGTTACGAGTGAAATCAAATCGTAATAATAATGATCACCACTCAGAGTTCATCCTTATTAGTCTACCAAAGGCAACACACAGAATTTACAATTATTCATTCCATTACTTGTACAAGCAAATGGCAGAGCCATTGCCACATCTGGCAAGGGTCTCAGGAGGGATGCCAGATAAATATCTACCACTTCCATCTTGCCTACAAGTTGCTCTGAGAAACAATAACAATGATTATCTTTGTAGAGTTGAAAGCAATACATTAACCGGGTGGCTCTGGTTTCCTCACGCATGAAGCCAAACGCTTGTAAAAAGGAATCGGCCAAACATCCAGATTGTGCAGGACCCTGCTGAAAAACAACCCTGGGACTTAAGTGAGGCTTTCGTGGATTAAAATCACATTGTTATTATTATTTGAGACTGGGTGAGGATTCATTGAGACGAGCATCACTGGCCGAAGAGATCTTAAAGAAGACTGACTCAAATATAAATGGTAAATTATAAATCCAATTTTACAAATCGCTATTCTTTTATGCAGCCACAAGCAGACCTGGGATGTAAAAGAATTACAATTGCAGCCGCATTGTTCGCTGAAATGACAATGACATTTTGTGATTGCAATTCGTTACAATTTACACAATTCACAATTATAAATCGTCCCCGGGTGTGCCAGGTGCTTATCGGTAACAAACAATCAGCTCACAACACTCGAGAATCTCACTCAACATTAATTCGAACTCAGGTTTTCTAAACTGAACCATTTTTTTATTTACCAGGAAAGGCACAATGAGCTATATACACAGCTCTTTTTTAGGTGACCTGCCCAAAAAGGATAGCTCAACAAAGTCGCTTATCATCATGTGGAAATGTATAGCAGCCAAATACTCGAAACGGCTGATGTTGATTCTAAATGCGGAGGGAATAACCAGAGGACCTGGAGAAAAATCCACACGACCACGGGGAGAGAAAGAGAGAGACATGCAAACTTCAAATATACAGGCGTCAAAGTCGAGATTGAACCAACGACCTCCTGTATACCAGGCGAGGTGGTTAACATCTCGCCACAGTGGCGCCCTCACAGTAGCAGTGCTGGCAGGGTGCAGCTACACGACACGGCCATTGCAAGCAACCACGGGCCACCGGGTCCAACCTCGCGACGTGACTACGGCTGCCAAACATCCGGGAGGCTTAACGAGGACGCGTGGGTGAGCCAGCAGCAGCTCCCTCCGCTGCCGGCCCACACCCATGAGTCAAGCGTGAAAACGTCGGGAAAATGTCGGGAAAATGTGACACCGAGACGCAATCTCGATTTGGGTGAAAAGCTGCGGGGGACAATGGGACGGGACGGTCGTTCTGAAAACGCCACGGACGCTGTCCCGGTCAGACTGGGGGATGTTAGGTAGCCTTAGACGTGATACCTTTTACGCTCCTCGGTACTGGAGGTTACCGCCGCCAGTTCTGGTTTTCCGAGGATCGTTCTCGTTGTCCTGGGAAGTCTGTCAAGTCTTCTCTCGGGGCATGAAAGGTGCCAGTTTTTTGTCCGTCACGTAATAATAACAATTACGATGACGATAACAAACAATATGCCGCTCGAGAGAATGCATCTAACACTTCGCTCTTCCCTCTTCTAGTACAGCAGTGTGTGAGAGAGGGGAGATATTCTTCTTCGCATGATATGTATGTTGTAAGCCAGAGGTGGCAGCCCTACCCGGGGCCCGTGGGTCGTGACCTTCACACACCACTGGAGGGGCAGCGGGGGGGGGGGCTGCTTCAGTCGCCACGTGACAGAATCGGCCGGCTGCTGAAACGCATTGTTGCTGCAAAAAAAACTGCACAACTCCCTTCCCATGGCCACCGAACAATGGCTCTGAAGGCGCCGTGTTAATGGCGAGGGGGCCTGAACGTGGCAGGAGGGAGGGGAGGCGGCTGTTGTTATAGGCCACCGAGAAAGGAAACGGCTCCTTCCTGTCCGGGCCTCCCTACAGGCAACACAGGAACACCCCTGCCTCCTCCTTTGCTACGCTACCAACACCGCTGCCGCCAACCACTGCAACCCACCATGACTGCCACAAAATCACCGCCACCAGTACCATTGCCACGTCTACTACCACCCTACCGCTCCCACACCACCTTTCTACCACCTGACCCTGGTTTTTTTTTCTCACATCCTCATCAAAGCCAGATGTCAACGCTATGGACGAACGTGTTCAAGCAAATCGCTCATTCCCTGAGTTGATTGCTGCGCTTGCGGTTAAGATCACTTCTTTTTTTCCTTTTACTAAAAAGTCAATTGCAATCGGAGCACTCGTGGTGAACAGTTGACATTACAGAACCACCTCTGAAGTCAGTCCCTTCATCAGCAGACTTCTTATCCACACTATATTGTACACCTTCCCATTTTGTCTGCAAACAGGGATTATTTAATGGCGTTCAAACATAAGGTGTAGTAAAACTCAAGAGCTGTAAATGTACTGGAGTTACAAACCACGTGTATAATACGATGGGGTTTTTTTGTGCAATCACTGGGGGCTGAGAACCCGGTTTAACCGCGGATTTAAGCCAGGATCTCGGCGGTGCCGAGCTCGGTGTTCAGATAAAGTTATTAGCCCGCCCACCTCTCTGAGCCACACGGTCACCTCCAGTGACGTTAACGAGTGCTTGCTAATCACCACCAACCACCCCGGGTCGTTACAGTACACAGGGCGTGCTCCAAATCTGTGCACTATTCGTCTGTCGGATTCGTCTACCGCTGTTGGGTGGCCACATTTTCTTAAACTATTGGAATTGGTGGTTCAAGACAAAAAAAAGGTTAAAACAATTCCGGCCGTTTTGAAGTGATGGTATTTATGTTCGGGAAAATAGCTGTTACAAATGCACGTTGTTAAATCTAACCATCCATCCCATCTAATTTCCATGACACCTCAATTCGAATCTAAACACCGCACACAAACTAACCTCGGTCGGTGGCCTCACCGCAGATCCAAGAGGACGGGAAAGGGTGACGGGAACAATAGCCCCCACCTTGAGATGCCAAAATTGTATATTTTATGGACATTTCCAATTAATTTTTTTTTATGAATTTAAAGCCCTATTAAAACAATTTATTAAAGCCTCTGCCCACCTTAGGAAGTTTCAGGAGCTGCCTCTGCTCGAGCCTCCCACAACAAATATAAAGACCCCCCCATATAGCCTTAACAGACTTTTGGGGCAAGTGCTGTTAGCGAGTAGCATCGATGACAGTCAGCACGGCACACGAGGGAGTGGGTGGCCAGCGCCACGCCCAGCCGAATGTCTCCCCAGTGACGATGCTTACACATCGGACCGGGTAGTAATTTAAGGCTGAGTCGACCTAGACGATGCCCAGGACCGGTTTTGATAATTGTCACTGGTGTTGGCCGTGCGCGGAGAATGAACTCGGATTGCCAGGTTTGTAGCGCAGCGCGCTAATCACTGCATCCCTGCTCCCCACAACACACACTCACGCACACAAACACACCTTTAACCACATTTTTGTTTTTTAATAACAAACCGTGTAAATCTGGGTGGCCACGAGTCCGCGTTTGTGCTTGTCTGGGTTTGGTCCACGGTGGGAAAAAGGTGGCAACCCCTCGTGTGTCAAACTTAATGACGGCGCAAATGACGCAGAGCCCTCCCTCACGACTCGCCCCGCACATCTGGATAGACCAGAAACAGCTCTCCCCCGGGAAGTTTATTTTCTCTGCTGTCTGAGCCAACAGGCAGCAGGCAACCGAAGTCGTCACCAAACGGGCCGTGGGGGGGGGGGTTGCTTTGGGTCTGACCGTGCGTTCCTTGTGCCAGGAGAGGAACCTCGACTTGGTTAACCGGCTATGCCCGTCGGTCCGGTTCATCCAAGAGGTTGGGACTCAGCCTTGAAACGAGCGCCTGGTTGCGCTGTGTGTAAACAACGTCAGCATTGGGAGGGGAGGGGGAGACAAAGGCGGCCGGCCGAGGCCTGGTGCTGGCCAATAGGTGCCCGCTAAGAGGCACGTGCCCCAAAGGTCTGTCCCTCGTGTACGCATGTCTTTCTGTGCGCCTGTGTTCACGTGCTAGTGTCTGTGTGTACGCAATTGCCATAGGTGGAGTTTGACTTCTGTATTGGGAGGGGCAGGGGTTCGCTTTGTCCCTCACATTAGGAATGACGGGTAAATAAGTCATTCATTTATTTTTAATCTTAATTGTAAAGGACTGAAAATCAATAAACAAAGATGCCCAGTTTAGGGGGGGGGGCATTGCCCCCCTTGCCCCCCAAACTGGGCACCTCGAAGGACGTGGCGACTGTAGCGAGGACATCTACAGCCAGAGACCAGGGTGGTGGTGATGGTGATGAGACTGGAGAAGTGGCCCAAGGCCGACGTTTCGTGTGTTACCCATCCCCCACGCAC